TCTTAAAGGAACTCAGACTTTTCCATAGAAAAAGGGGAATCATAGAAGGCTTTTAAGCAGACTACACGGGATGACCCTCTGTGCTCCAGCAGAATAGGCCCAGGACTGGCAACCTCTCTCGAAGGCAGGCACCAGAAGTTCCCTGGACAATAGAACAAAGCCAGCACTGCAGCCAAGGGATGGCATTTCTATTTCTGTTTTCTATATATAGTACAGCAGAGAGTAATTATAGTAGCCGAATCAGAAGAAGAAAATTACATTCTGGATCAAATATAGATAAACTTCACTATAATAAGTGGGCAGCCTAACCCCAAGGTAGATGCTTCCTCATAATAGAGCCTGATTTAGAAAGACCCATGATGGCATATGATAAGTGAAAAAGGCTAGCAAAGCACAGACCACAGGTTCATGGAAAGAGTATCCAGGGCTTCACAATAAAAGCCTCTATTCCTATTTTACTGGCCTCTTCATGGCCCATTTCCATTTGCAACACAGAGCTTCCTCTTGTTCTAATTATGGTCAACAAAAATGACTTGCAATTTTCAGACACTGGGATGAAAACTGTCATGTAATGAATAGGTATAGCACTGAATTAAATCAATGCATACTAGATTTTTGTATAAGGCTTCCCTGGTGGTCCAGTGGTTAAGACTCAGCACTTCCACTACAGAGGGCATAGGTTTGATTCCTGGTCGGTTAACTAAGATCCCACATGGCATGCAGAGTGCCCCCCCAAAAAAAGAAAAGGAAAAAAAATTAATATATTTTATAAATTGTAAATACTAAACAAACATAAGGCATAAAAGATAATGAAGGAATTAATGAAAAAAATAATGAAGGAATTAATAACAAAGCGAGAAGACAATGATGCTAGCTGTTTTCTTGGTAGAAACAATGGGCACCAAGGGGGAAGATTTTACAGTTTCAATTCCCTTAGAGCACTTTTTAATCAAAGAGGACTCATGAGTCAGACGTTCATATACACAAAGGTACTTTAAAAAGTAGTAAGATATGATGACTATTACTGCCACTGTTCATCAGACTATTTCTCTACTAAGTGAAGAGCAACAGAAGGTTGGATAATGGGTTGACTAAGCAGGTCATAAAGAGCCTCATACCTAGCAGATCCTTAATAATTATTTTGGAGAACTAAAATACACATCTCAAAGCTTTAGAAACAAAGCAATAATTAATTGTACCAGCTGTATTAAGAAATGCAAAAACACTCAAAGACCCACAGCAGTGAGAAAACCACAGAACCATTTTAGGAATCTGACAAACACCATTTAAACTCTAAAAGGTTAAAAGAGAATGAAAAAAATCCCTGCAACATATAAATAGAATTCAGTTTAAAATCAAGCTCTACTAAAGAAGTAAAATTATCTGTCTATAGATACGATCTTTATGTAGAAAATCTTTAAAGATTTCACAAAAAACTATTAGAACTAATCTATGAATTCAGAAAAGTTGCAGGATACAAAATCAACATACAAGAATCAGTTTCTATACACTAACAACTAGCAATCCAAAAAGGAATTAAGAAAACAATTCCATTTATAATAGCATCAAAAAGAATACTTGGGAATAAACTTAATCAGGGAGGCAAAAATATTAATAATTCTACACTGAAAACTATAAAACAATGCAGAAAGAAATTATTCCATGGCAATTAGAAGGGGAAAAAGTAGAAGCTGTGATAGATTTGATTTTCTTGGGCTCCAAAATCACTGTGGACAGTGACTGCAGCCATGAAATTAAAAGACGCTTGCTCCTTGGAAAGAAAACTATGATAAAGCTAGACAGCAGAGATTAGAAAGCAGAGACATCACTTTGCCAACAAAGGTCTGTAGGTCTGTATAGTCAAAGCTATGGTTTTTCCAGTAGTCATGTATGGATGTGAGAGTTGGACCATAAAGAAGGCTGAATACTGAAGAATTGATGTTTTTGAACTGTGGTGCTGGAGAAAACTCCTGAGAGTCCCTTGGATTGCAAGGAGATCAAACCATTCGATTCTAAAGGAAATCAACCCTGAATATTCGTTGTAAGGACTGATGCTAAAGCTGAAGCTCCAATACTTTGGCCACCTGATGCAAAGAGCTGACTCGCTGGAAAAGATCAGGATGCTGGGAAAGACTGAAAGCAAAAGGAGAAGAGGATGACAGAGGATGAGATGACAAACGAGAGAATATATCACCAACTCAATGGAGATGAATGGAAATGAATTTGAGCAAACTCCAAGAGATAATGAAAGACAGGGAAGTCTGGCATGCTGCAGTCCATGGGGTTGCAAAGAGTTGGATAAGACTTAGCTACTGAACAACAATAGTTACAGAAGAGAAGGGAGTAATAAGACAGCCACAGCCTCAGAGCAGTCCACATTCAGAGTTAAAGCAGAGGGCAAAAGAGAATCAAGCAGTGAGATAAAGAAGGGTTTTTCCCAAAAAAATCAGATGTCCAGACCCAGGCCTGTGAACTTGGTACTCAAGAGGTAGAAGGGAAGCATGTATTTTAAAAATCTCTATGTGCTGGGACTTCCCTGGTGGTACAGTGGTACCAGAATCTGCCTGCCAATGCAGGGGACTTGGGTCCAATCCCTGGTCTGGGAAGATTCCACATGCCGCAGGCAACTAAGGCCCATGCGCCACAAATATTGAGCCTGTGCTCTAGGGCCCACAAGCCACAACTACTGAAGCCCACACACCTAGAGCCTGTGCTCAGGAACAGGAGAAGCCTGCACACTGCCAACCAAGAGTAGCCCCCACTCACTGCAACTAGAGAAAACCTGCACGCAGCAAGCAAGACCCAGGGAAACCAAATAGTAAAAAAAAAAAAATTTTTTTAATCTCCTTGGGCTAGTTCAGTAGTCAGAATGTAAGTGAGAGAGGTAAGGAGGAAAAATGCACAGTAGTAGGGGGAGTGGGAGGAAGGAAGAGAATTGAGATATTATAAGGCACCACAGACAGGACTTAGTGACTGATTATGTACGGGATAGAAAGGAGAAGAAAAATAATTGCACGTTGTTTCTTTCTTGGAGACCGGAAGGTTATGCTGTCATTAAAACTAGAAATACAAGATAGAAGGATAGAAGCAAGGGTTTTGGTTGTTGTGTTTTTACGGGGGTTGGGGTAGGAGGGTGTGTATAGTGAGAAGGGCCAAAGAAGAGCTAATGATAGCTGTGACAGGTAACATTAATTACAAACTTACTTATCAGTGCTTTGTATCTAATTTGAGGAGCTGGGCATCACTCTGCAAGGAGCACAGTTATCATAGATCACAACAATCCTACTTTGTCAGTTAAGGAACTGATGTTAGCAAACAGCACAGAAAGGCGTTATACTAGGTCAGACTGGCTCCAAGCCAGAGTTTGAGGTACCACTGGGATATTACTTAGTGACATCAAAGTTGTCAGGGCAGCTTAAGTCTTAGAAGGGATGTGATCACACAGGGAAAGAATATACAGATTGATAAATTATCACCCACATATTGGGCTAATTCTTAATCATGATACAATAGGCCTTTTTCCTTGTCCAAAAATGAAGAAAATACTTAAATTTTTAAATAATGCCCACTGAGGGCAAGGACCTTATCACAGTTTTTATGTTCCTAGGTGTGCAATGCCTGGAACAAAATGACCACTTAATAAAAGTTTGCTAAAGCTTTAAAACAAAACAAAACCAAAGAAAACCCCAAAATTTAATAACTGGCCACAACTAAAAAAACACTACACTATATAAGAACAACTATTTCTGACCTAATTATAGCATAGTTTTTTTTTCCCATTTCCTCTCTGTGCTGTATGCTACAAATGCACTGGGTTTTTTTCTGCACTACAATAATGTCTGTTTTATGAATTGTATAGATAGAAGACACAACTCAGTGAGACAGGCACTCTTATCCACTGCTGGATGCAAAATAAGTACTTTTTAGAAAGACAATTTGATAAGACGCATAGAGTCTTAAAGCCCTTATTCAGTAATCTTACTTAGGAATTTATCCAAAGAAAGGAATTAGAGACGTGGCCAAAGACTAGGTTGAAGTATTCAAAATATCCCACAAAAAATACAATTAAATAAACCACCATTTAGCCATAGGATATAGTATGGTGCTCTTATATCAAGTTTGTTTGTTTTTTTTTTTTAAATCAAGTTTTTAAGAATACTTAGGGCTTCCCTCGGAGAAGGCAATGGCACCCCACTCCTGTACTCTTGCCTGGAAAATCCCATGGACGGAGGAGCCTGGTAGGCTGCAGTCCATGAGGTCACTAAGAGTCGGACATGAATGAGCAACTTCACTTTCATTTTTCACTTTCATGAGCTGGAGAAGGAAATGGCAACCCACTCCAGTGTTCTTGCCTGGAGAATCCCAGGGACGGGGGAGCCTGGTGAGCTGCCGTCTATGGAGTCGCACAGAGCCGGACACGACTGAAGTGACTTAGCAGCAGCAGGGCTTCCCTGGTGGCTCAGATGGTAAAGAATCTGCCTGCAATGCAGGAGACCCGGGTTTAATCCCTGGGTTGGGATGATCCCCTGCAGAAGGGAATGACTACCACTCCACTATTCTTGCCTGGAGAATCCCATGGACAGAGGAGCCAGGCAGGCTACAGTCCATGGCATTACAAAAAGTTGGACACAACTGAGCAATTAACACACACAAGAACACTTTAGGATACTAGAAAATGCTTTTGATAAATATAATGAAAAAAGTAGGATACAAACTATACCTAGCAAGATGATGATTGTGCATTTATGTGTAAACACATACATATATATATGTGAAAATCATATATATATACAATTACATAGAGAATTATATATTTATATATATATATATATATTTACCCAGAAAAATATAAGAATATTAAGAGTCTCACTGGGTGGAAAGATTACAAGAGATCCTAATGTTCTTTATGTTTCTTGGTATTTCTAAAATTTCTGCACAAAGTATATTTTTATTTTAAAACTCAAAAAAAATATGATAAATAAAAGCAAGATAGCACTCACCTTCTTTCTTTTTCTAGAAGAATTTCTCGTGGGGTCAGGTTTTTCAAACTCTGCTGACTTTGCCTCTTCTTTCTCCTCTTCCTCATCGGGTATCAGAGAGTACTTGGTCCCACCTGGTTGCATGAAACAATCCTTTGCAAAGTGGCCTGCAGAAGAGAAGTAGAAAAAGTAGGGAGGGAAGACGCAATCTCTCCCCTTAGCAGGTGGATCTTCCCCAGAAGCTCCTGAAGGGCTGGCTGGTTCAGGAGGTACTAAGTTCATTCACAGCAGTTGCTGCATTCAGAGCAGCTTGACAGCATTGCTCACTCAACCAGAGCCAGACAGGCAGCTGGTCCTAGAGCTGTGGGAAACACTGGCACTGCTTTGGAAATCGCCAAGAATGTGAGGATATAGGCTTGTGCTGCCCTCATTTGCAACTGGGTTCAGTAATTTTTAAAGGTCTTGTTGTTACTGTTTAGCTGCTAAGTCGTGTCTGATTCTTTTGCAACCATAGCTATGGACTGGAGCCCGCCAGGCTCCTCTGTCTGTGGGATTTCCCAGAGAAGAATACTGGAATGGGTTGCCATTTCCTTCTCCAGGGGATCTTCCCAACCCAGGGACTGAACCCACATCTTCTGCATTGGTTTTAAAGGTCTATTTGGAACCCATTTCTGACAATGAAAGGCTGCTCCAGAGAGCAGAATATTTGCCAGAGGGAGCCAAGTGGCAGGCAAAGAGGCCCTAAAGGAAGATAGCTCTTAGGCAGCAGGCAGGAACACAGCACTCAAATTCAAGCTAACACATACAGAGCCAGCAAAATCACCTAGGGGCAGTCAACATTCACAGCCTGTCAGGTCCGGCAAGGCCTGAGAGATCATCAAATCCAACACTGCATTTGAACTAGATATGAAGGCCCAGAGTAAAGAAGTACCTCAAGGTCACACAGACAGCAGCAGAACTAAAACTTACCCTGGGTCTCATGTCTCCCTGCCCTGTGCTCTTTCTGTTGCACCCAAACCAACCACCTTTGGCCTGCCTGGGCCAAACTCCAATGTTCATTATTCCTTTCTGCCTCATGTAACACCTGGTGGGAACAAGTTGAAGGTAAGAGGACCTCATTCTCCCTGAGCCTACGTTACTATTAAGGGGCCCTGTCACAGATGCTGGGCTTCCCTGGGGGCTCAGACAGTAAAGCGTCTGTCTGCAATGCAGGAGACCAGGGTTCAATCCCTGGGTCGGGAAGATCCCCTGGAGAAGGAAATGGCAGCCCACTCCAGTGCTCTTGCCTAGAAAATCCCATGGATGGAGGAGCCTGGTAGGCTACAGTCCATGGGGTCACAAAGAGTCGGACACGACGGAGCGATGTCACTTTCACTTTTAACAGATGCTACACAGCTGGTTTTATGTGAGCTTTTTGTAGGCCCTGCCTCAGGGGCACAAAGAATTTGATAAGATCATCAAAAAGCTATGTATAAACCACATTTTTCCCTTCCTCCCTCTACAGTAATGATAAATCAGGACAAACCCCCAACCTCAACCAGGGCACAAATCTGCTACCACTCGTAGAAAAGTCAAGAGAGCAAGGTAAATGAAAGGCTAGGGAGACCTGATGACAAATTGAGGTCACTCTGAAAGTGAGAAGATGGCAATCCCTCTCATTATAGCTCCAACAAGGGAAGTCAGGCTGAAAGAGCTCTTTAATATTTGAGTAGGACTGTAGGAAACTTGAGGAAACGAAGCTAAAAGGAAGTGACTAGCCTGTATTCTTTACTACGAAAAAAATATTGTACTCAGAACTCAGAAGTTATAGAGATAAAGGTAAAATAAGCAAGAAAGGATTGACTTGGATCCTTAAGGAATATATTTCCAAGTCACTTAATTTTTGCAACCAAACAATAATGGTCCTTAGAGATAAAATTTAGATTGTTGATAATAATCCAACACTCTTACCCCTCCTGTCATAGTATATGGGGGTCCTGCCCAGGCAGGGCATTGCCTATGGAGAGAGAGGAGTAGTGGTAATAGTGTAGTATCCGGCAGGGCAGCATTCAGAAAAGGAAACAGAAAAAGCAACAAGTCATGAACTCTGATGTGAGTCTAGTAGGAACAGCAGATGAATGAGCAAGGGAGGCCAACACTTGGCTAAAACCCAGGGAGATCTAAAGGCACACTAGGTGGCCTCCCTCATCCTGTAAAGGGTTCATCCACAGGAGAATAAAAGTGAAATGGCAGAGGCTTCACCCTACCTTTACAGCCACACTTCTTGCAGGTGGTGTTCAGGACAGCCTCAAGGGTGATCTTCTGCCCAGTGTAATCCTGGAAGGACCGCCTCCGCCTCTCTTCTTGCCTGTAATGAAATGATACTGACTGTTGACCCTCTTAAGAGATGTGGCCAGAGATACTACTAGTTAATACTCTATGTTGGTTTTTTGTTTTGTTTTTGGCAGGTAGAAGGGAGAAAGGAAAAGCACTGGGCCTAAGGAGATAGGCAGTGAAAGCAACAACATAAACTAGACAATTTTTTCATTCAGGACAAGGCTCTGAATTAATTACTATGAATAAGACTAGATTTCATCTCACTGATGCACAGGGGATGAAGATACAATTACTCACCTTGCTAGGTCCCCTACAACCCTTACAAGGTCACTCCTGGGTGACCACCAAAGATTCTTAGAGGATCAAGTCCAAATTTCTTATGCTGGTATTCAAGGCCTTTCACAATCTGTCTCTAACCTACTTTTCTGGCCTCATCTTTACTTGTACAATATGCTTGAGCCAAACCACACTATTTTACCTTCCCCAGATGGCTCATGCTTTTGCTTAGGCCCCTCCCTCTTTCTGAAATGCTTTTCTTCCCCTCTTTACTCCCACCTCACCACCTAACTACACCCAAACGTGTCAAGGCTCGGCTTAGTTATTGCTCCTCCTTCTATCAAATTCTCCTCCCTATCAAATCCTCCTCCTCCCAGCCAGGATTAATCTATTTGTTCATAGTCCCATGACACTTTTTAAAAATTCTAAATATATAACCAAAGAATAAAATACACACAGAAAAGTACTCACAAGTATACAGCTTGACTGATTTTTCACAATTTGAAATATCCACATAATCAGTACTCAGAGAAACAGAACATCACCAACACCACAGAAGCCCCTCCAGCCACTGTGCCTCCTCCAAGAACAACCACTCTTCTAGTTCCTAACAGAATAGATTAGTTTTACGTATTTTTCTAAGTTAGATCAAGAGAATCAGAGTATGGACCCTTCTGTATCTGGCTCCTTTCACTGCTTTGTGAGATCCATCTAAGTGTTGTGTGTAGCTCTGGATCATTCATTCTCATTGCTAAAAAGAATTGTTCTGTTGGCGAATATTTGAGTAATTTCTACTATGAGAGTGCTTCTGTGAACTTTTGGTGAACTTGTACATGTACATGCATTTCTTTTGGGAAACGCCTAACTCCAGGTAGGAGGGGAACTAGTGAGTTACCGGGCAGCTGTCTCAGTAGACACTGCCATACAGTGCGTTTACCAGTTACACTGCTACCAGCAGAGCCGAGGCGCCCCAGCTGCCGCAGCTTTTGTTACCTTTACTATAATACACAGGACCTACGCAGAGTATTCTTAGAAAATGTTTAATTGAAGAGTATCACCCCTGATCACTCTTCCTTTCAGACCCAAACTGCATCCTATATACACTTCAATCCTAGCACATATCACACCACATAGTTATTTCCTTCTAGATCTGGGCCCGTTTAAAAAACATCTTACTTGTCTTTGTTTCCCTGGCACCTCAGCCCAAGGCTTGGCAAGCAACAGCATCAATGGATGCTTGCTGAAATTTCTTTGTCCTTCATCCAAAATATTTTTCTTTACCTGAATGTCTTTAACTTTGAACTCTGACTTCACCTAGGCTTTTCTAACCTGTTCACTAGCAGGTCTCTCCAGAGTCCAGCAAAAGTAGAGAAATATTTTGCCAAAAGAGCCACATTACCCAGAGCAATGCAGGATAATCAAAGCAGAACAAAGCTACTCACTTCACAAATTCTAGTCAAGTTTTATGGGCAATGAGGGCTCAAGACAGGAAACAAAGTGAATCAAGATACTCCATATTCTGTCCCATTCATTCTTCAAAGTTCAGCTCAAATATCGCATCTTCTGTAAAATGCTCCCTGTTACCACAGGCAAAGTTAAATACTCATTTTATTTTACTAATTTGTTTATATTTTGCCTCATTGTCTATTCCACAACCTGATGTGAAAAGCCAACTCATGGGAAAAGACCCTGATGCTGGGAAAGATGGAAGGCAAAAGGAGAAGGGAGCAGCAGAGGATGAAATGGTTAGATAGCATCACCAACTCAACGGACGTGAATTTGAGCAAACTCCGGGAGATAGCGTAGGACAGGGAAGCCTAACGTGCTGTAGTCCATGGGGTCACAAAGAGTTGGACACAACTTAGCAACTAAACAACAACTTTATCACAACCAGGGCTTGAGAAGTAAAGTCTATGTTATATTCTTTTCTATATCTGAGCAGACAGCAACCATCTAGCATACTGTTGTCCAAAAAAAACCACACAAAGCTGTAAAGTTCTATAAATTTATGTCTGTACTGCTGACTATTTACATCTGACTTTATGTCTATGGTTAATGAGCACTTCAAATGTGGTTTGTGATTGAGGAATTAGATGGTAAACTTTATTTACTTTCAATTAATTCACAATTAAATCGCCTGTGTGACTAGTGGCTTCCCAGTTGGGACAGACCACACAAGCATATGGTTTAAGTTCTAAAGTCTGTTCATATCCCTAGCTTGTGCCCTAGAAGAATCTTACTCAAATGATAGAAGGTCAGCTGTCTGGTATGGGTCACAGGAGAGGGTCCATTCAAAGAGTGAAGCTTGAGGAACAAACACCAAGGTGAGGAGCATGAAGAAGTAAATAGTGAGTTACTTACCTAGGGTTAAAAAGCTTCAATTAAGTAAGATGAGTAAGTTCTAGTGATCTAATGCACAGCAGTACCTATAGTCAACAATACTGTTAACAATACACTTAAATATTTGTTAAGAGGGTAGATCTCATGTTAAATGTTCTCACCGCAATAAAATTAAATTTAAGAAAACAAGGCAGGTTCTTGGGGATATAACTTGAACAGTCACAAAAACTCCATTGCTTTCAGATGTCATTTGTGGAGCTCAGTTTCAAGTGGCTATGAGTTGCAGCCTAAGCAAACCCTCATTATAATCAATTCCAATCCGCTGTAGATTCAAACATACCATAAGCCAAATCATACCTCCCACCTAACACTCAATTCAGCAAATATGGCACTCACTCCCCTTCTGTCCTTATTGCCATCAACCTAGTTTAGGCTTCAGTACATTTCACTTAAACAGCAATAACTCATTTACTGGTCTCCAGCACACATAGCAGGATTAATCGTTCATTTTTAAGTTTAACTAATAAGAGGCAAACACCAGTGATAGTACTAATGATGTGAGGAAGTATACTAAAGTGATAGGACATGGTAGAAAGAGATATATAAATGGATAATTACACTGTGGTCATACATAAATGCTCTTTCTATACTATGCTGGTTAAACCCAGCTGGAAACTGTATTTAGCCCTTTCCATTTGCAGATTCACTTATTAATGACCTTGTTAATATTCAATACTTTGGGGCCTGAGGGAATGAAATATAAGACCGCTAGATTTTGATGGAGAATGAAAGGTAGTTGTCAAGCAGTGGGTAGCTGGAAACAACATGAAGATATTGAGCCTAACAGGGTGAAGCCAGAAAATGGGGTACCTGGAGAGAATCATCTACTCAGGAGTCTCTCCCATTCAAAGGCTTTAAAAACATTCATATTCTTTGACTGATACACAGAGCTGTCCACAGTCTGACTCCAACCTATCTTTCAAGCCCTACATTCTTGTACCTAACAATACCCTCTTACTTCCTTAAACAAGAGTCTTAAAAGTGCCACATGCTTTCCTGCCTCATGCCTTTCCTGAAACTGTTCCTTCTGCTTGCAATACTATTCTTTCCCCTGCTGCCTGACAAAATCTTACCTATTCTTCAAGACTTAGCTCAACTGTCCTCTCTTCTCTGACCATCAAGGCCTGATGGTCAAGCTAGCTTCCTCTTCAAGCTATTTCCTAGAATCTTTCCTTTAAACCACTCTTTTAATATTTATTACATGTTGCCTTGTATCAAAGTTATTTGCATAATTACTTCATTACACTAGGCAGTAAGGTCCTTAGACAGAAACCCTGGTATTGCCATTGTACTTCAAATAGAATATTAGTCCAATAAATATTTGTCAAATAATAAGTAAATGGATACACTAACTAAACAACTACTATACATCAGGGATTATGTGAGATAAGAAAGAAAGATAAGAGGTGGCCTCTGCCTCATGGCTTTTACTTAGTCTTTCAAAAGAAAGAGTGTGGGGGACTTCCCAGGTAGTCCAGTGGTTAAGACTCCATGCTTTCATGGCAGGGGGCATGAGTTCGATTCCTGGTCAGGGAACTACGATCCCTGCATGGCATGCAGAATGGCCAAAACATTTAAAACAAATTAAAAAATAAAAAACAAAAGAAAATGTATGATAATCTCAGATACTAGAGGAAAAATGAAGAAATATTTAAAAACAATAACTACAAGTAGTTGCTATATGTTAAATTTCTACTATAGATTAGACAAGAAAGTGAAAGTCGCTCACTCCTATCTGACTCTTTGTGACCCCATGGACTATACAGTCCATGGAATACTGGAGTGGGTAGCCTTTCCCTTCCCTTCTAAGCTAAGGTTCTTTCTAAACAAGATTTAATTTAAAAATACCATCATTTCTAGTACACCAAGATGTAGGTGCCATTCTCTTCGTACAGTGAAGATATACCTTCACTGAGGTTCAGAAAGCCTAGGTAATCTCTTCAGGGTCATACACTAGCTTGGGGCAGAACTAGGGCTCTTTCTGATTCAAGTCTTAACTCTAAAACCTGTCATCATTCCACTATAGCCTACAACAAAATACAAATAGTTTACAACAAAAGTTACTGTTCAGCCTTTTGGTAATTACTAGAAATAGCCCATACATAGAAACATGTACAACATAAAACCAAGGGGTCCTTTCCTTTCGATTATCTTCCCTCGTTGTAAGAAAGAGATGCAGCTCTTTTATCTTGTTTTATATTTTTACCCTTATAAGAGTGGCTTTAGGAAATTTCACTGCTTTTTAATGTGTCTGTATAGACAGGACTCTTTGGAGCAGAAATAATTTACTACAATGCAATCAGTAAATATCACACTTAACATTTCTGAGCTCAGAATTATAAAAAATTTCAAATGTCAAGTATTTGTCAATAATTAGCCCTACCAAAAAACAAAAAATCAGCCCTTCAAACCTGTCAGCATTTAGAGACTAAACTACAGTAATATGAAAAATTCTAAGTCACATGCAATACCTAGAAGCATCATGTGGGGAAAACAATATTAGTTTTAACATCAGAGAGACCTGGATTCAACACACCATAACTTGTTATACAATCACAGGCAAGTTATCACCAAGTATCAAGCTAGAAACTAAGAAAATAAAGTAAAATGGAAATAATGCCCACTTTGCAGGTTGTTATAAGAATTAGACACATTAATGTACATGAATCATCTTGCCTAAGTCTGACATATAGTATGTATTCAATAAATATTACTTCCCTTCCTTCATATTCAAAATTATTTTTTTTTCAGAACTATAAACATAAGGGCTTCCAAACACTGAGTTGGCAAGACCCCACTCAAACAACACTTTTTTTTCTTATTTAAAAAAATTAAATAACATTATGGCCACTAAGAGCACCAAATTAGCATGAAATAAACAATGTGATATTTATGTAAGAAGCAATAAAATAATGTCATGGTCAACCTGAGGATAAACATATGATTTTAGTTGGCTTTCTGAAACACTAAAAACAGTTCATAAACCCCTCAGCCTCCTTCAAGGGATATTAAAAATCTAGGAACCCCTGATTAGAAAACACTTGTGAAGTGAAAGTCGCTCAGTCATGTTCAACTCGTTGCGACCCCATAGGCTATATAGTCCACGGAATCCTCCAGGCCAGAATACTGGAGTGGGTAGCCTTTCCCTTCTCCAGGGGATCTTCCCAACCCAGGGATCAAACCCAGGTTTCCCGCATGGCAGGCGGATTCTTTAACAGCTAAGCCACAAGGGAAGCCCAAGAATACTGGAGTGGGTAGCCTATCTCTTCTCCAGCGGATCTTCCCAACCCAGGAATCATACCGGGGTCTCCTGCATTGCAGGTGGATTCTTTACCAACTGAGATACCAGGGAAGCCCTAGAAATCACTGGCACACCCTAATTTTACTGAGCTTCACAGATACTGTGTTTTCTACAATTTGAAGGCAACCCTGAATTGAGCAAGTCTACTGGCATTATTTTTCCAACTGTATTTGCTCACTTTATGTCTCAGTATCAAATGAGGTAATTTGGCAGTATCTCAAACTTTTCCATCATCATTGTTTATTTTTTAATTTTTTTTTCTTTTCATTTATTTTTATTAGTTGGGGGCTAATTACTTCACAACATTTCAGTGGGTTTTGTCATACATTGACATGTATCAGCCATGGAGTTACATGTATTCCCCATCGCGATCCCCCCTCCCACCTCCCTCTACATCATCATTGTTATTCCATTTGTTATAGTGATCTCTGATACGACTATTGTCATCATTTCAGCACTTTTTAGTAATCAAGTATTTTTTAATTAAGGTATACATATTGCTTTTTAGACACTGTGATATTGCACACTTAATAGACTACAATATACTTTTATATGCACTGGGAAATCAAAAAATTCATGTGACTCACTTTATTAAGGCATTTGCTTTATGTGGTGGTCTGGAACTGAAACCACAGGATCTCAGAGCTATGCCTGTATTCAAGAAAGATTCTGAGACAGCAAATTCCATGCATCACCAGATAGTATCCTACAGAGGAAATCTATTCATAAATGAAAAATCAGAAGAGGCTGACTCATGTCAATGTATGGCAAAACCCACTACAATATTGTAAAGTAATTAGCTTCCAACTAATAAAAATAAATGGGAAAAAGAAAAAAAAAGTCAGAAGACCTAGTGAAAGTAAGGTGTTGTGTTCGGGACACAGCACATCCCAAGATGCAGGGGTCTAAAACCCCACTGGAGTTGTCCCTCGTACATGGTCTCTGCCTTTTTCAGTCCCAGAGCTAGAGGAAAGGCAATTAACAAGTACCTCACGATGAATGCTTTTTGGCTAACTGGTTAAAGGGTAGAGGCAGAAAAAGAATAAGGGAAAGGAAACTAAATCATTGACAGAGCACTTCTATGCTAGGAGCGGCTTATTTGCATTTCATCTTAGTGTTATCTATAACACTTTCTGGGCTCCCTTGGTGGCTCAGATGGTAAAGAAGTTGCCATCAATGCAGGAGACCTGGGTTTGATCCCTGGGTCAGGAAGGCCCTGGAGAAGGGACTAGCTACCCACCCCAGTATTCTTGCCTGGAAAATCCCATGGATAGAGAAGCCTGGTGGGCTATAGTCCATGGGGGTCACAAGAGTCGGACACAACTGAATAACTAAGCGCGCGCACACACACACACACATAACACTTTCTACCTCTAAAAACCAAAGATCACATAATTCATCAATATCACAGTCTACAAACAGTGGAGTTTCCAGGTGGGCCTGATTCACTATATCATTCTGTGGTTTGAAAAGTTATTTTAACCATTCCAAACCTTTTACCTACTCAATGATAACGTTGTTGGGATCAAGGTCCTTCCCAGTCCCTTGGTTGACAACCTTCATGGAGAGGGATACTTTTATCCTATCATTTTTCATCTGAAAAATACAAAAGCAAAATTGGCAAAAGCTCAAAGTACATCATTTGGACTGTTGGTCTAAAATTATCTAAGAATTGGAAGTTTTTATCATGTATCTAACATTGAGTTCCTCTAATGGTCAAGGTCCTGTGCTAGGAACATTTTGGGTACTAATAAGCATAACAGGCAAATTCTATGGCATATCATTCTGGACCCTCCTTAGGGCAAAGACAAAAATGATTGCTCAGAAAGCCGGGGCCTGTGTAAGTAACCAAGCAAAAATTAAAGCTGTTTTTTTTTATATAGTTCAGTGTAATAATCGGTTCAGAGATCCATGAGCATAGACTAGATTTCAGAACATTCCAGTGGACTAGATCTCCTTTTGGACTTTGTCTAAAAGCTTCTTAAACATGAAGTCAACTAACAGTGTCTTTAAATATGAAGACAGTTGTTAGCCACATTGGTCTTCTTTTGCTTCCTTCAGCACTTGAAGGCCTCTACAATTTTGGGTCTTTATCAGTTACTCTCTTTGCCTGGAATATGCTTTTCTCAACTTTTCACATGACTGGCTCCTTTTCCTTTGGGTCTCAGATCATATACAACCACCACTCACCCAAAAGTCTGTTTCTGACCATTTTATCTCAATCAACCTCCACATCCTTTGACCCTACTACAACACTTACTGTAACCTGTAGTTACTTTTAATTATTTTAGTTTGCTTACTTATCTCCTCTTGTATAGAATGTATATTCTACACAAATTCCATAACCACTGAAGTCATTTATATCTGATTTACTAACTCTTGTATCCCTCAGACCTAGTATATATTAAGCACTCAAATACTGTTGAATATCTCTTTCAGGACTGTCTCCTCTGCCATTCTCGGGGAGAACAGGTCTCAGTGTACGTGAATATCACTCCAGTGGTCTGAACAGACCCACAAACCCTCAAGTGAGCTGCTGTTAACAGGGTCCTACAGCATTTTCTCAACTTTCCCTCACATAGCACGGTGTCAGGTATTATGAAAAATGACTGTAAACTCTTATGTTCTTTTTTGTTTTGGTCCAAATTGAAGTGTATTTGGAAGTTTTCTACTAAAAGACAGTTTCATAGATTTAAGTTTTCTTCTCTCTTTTTGGTTCTTTTTCCTCCCCTCCATATCCATCATTTGGATGAACTACAGGGAGGAAAGTCTTATAGACAAGTACTTATTGGACCACACTCATTATAGTCCATACTATCCTTCTGAGTTTGCATGACAGACAGATAGCCAAAAGGTTTAAATTCAGGTCAGATTATCAGACACAGCTAACAACATATACACACTCATGAAATATCACCATGAAAAACTTAGAAAATCCCAGCTTTACTTAATAGTTTCTAACCAGTTAAAGTTGCACAGAACTTTACCTCTCGGCCAATAAGCTTCACCCACACTTTGTCTCCAACATCTACTATCTCAGAGGGCTTATCCACGCGACAGGATGACATGTGAGTTCGATGGACCAGACCTGGGCACAAGAAGAAAAAAAGTAGTGGGCATGTCTGGTATTCATACTCTAAATAACACAGTAAAGAGAAAATGGAAGTTGGGGATTCACTGAAAAAGTTTTCATTAGTTTAAAACTGCAAATTAAAACAATTTGAGATGACTTTTTATACCTAATCAACTAACAAATATTCTTTAAAATAAAATAATTATGATGTTAAGTGAGAAAAATAAAAATAAGGTTGCCATTTTTAATTTATTAAATTAGCAAAATATTTAGAAGAGAATAATATCCAGTGTTGATATAAATATAGTAAAATAAGAAATATTGCTGAAGCTAACATAAATTTTTAGAAATCACTTAGCAGTGGCTATCAAGAGTGATAAAAATATTTAACAGAATTATCAGACATCCTTTTCCCTGTCTATACAAGGTCATTTTCTGGGAGAACCACCTTCCTTACATTCTGAAATAATCTGGTCAGTCCTTGTAGTTTGGTTGGAGCTGATCCAACCCCCAACTGTGGGGATATGACACAGGCATCAAGGAACTTCATTCCCTAGGCCACAGCAACTGATTGGTTCAGGGACAGACACAAGATACTAGCTAAATCAAATCTTTTTCAAGACTTTTGTCAGGATCATAAATTACAAGAAGTTACCAATGCCCATCTTTACCACCAGGTGGCAAGAGTCAGCCAGACGGAAGCAAAGAAGAGCCTGCATAAACAAGAGACAAAGCCCTGAAGGCATAAACTAAGCACCGGATCCAGCCCTGGTGGAAGCTAGATATATTAATATCTTACACTGCCCAGGGAAATTAGCCAGAAATTTGCAAAATGTTTCTCCTGCATTTCTGTCCCTAGCAACCAAGAGTTCTAATAATTAACTTGACCCATAATCACTTCTGAGACCAAGAAAAAAATCTTATACATAGAAAAATCTACATGTACCTAGAAAAGTGATTTACATCAAAATATTCAACGTATTTTTAAGACAAAGAAAAAAATGGAAACAACCAAATATCCAACAATAAGGTAACAGCTAAGTCAACTACAGTACAGCTACTTGACAGTCCATTAAAAACAATGTTCAAAAGATTATGTAAAAATACATCAATAATTCATTCTCCTGCAAATATCTGAGTGCCTACTATGTGCCACTATGGCTTCCCTGGTGGTTCAGAGGTTAAGGCGTCTGCCTCCAGTGTGGGAGCCCCGGGTTTGATCCCTGGGTTGGGAAGATCCCCTGGAGAAGGAAATGGCAACCCACTCCAGTATTCTTGCCTGAAGAATCCCACGGTCGGAGGAGCCTGGTAGGCTACTGTCCATGGGGTCGAAAAGAGGCGGACACGACTGAGCGGCTTCACTTTCACTTTCACTTTCACTATGTGCCACACACTGTAGGAAACAGCATTTCTCATTTAAATAATGAAAATGCTTAAAACAGATTCCAAATATTAGAAAGGAATAATCCAAAATGCTATAGCAATGGTTATACTAGGGTACAGGATTACAGGTTAATTTTTATTTTCAAATGTTCTAATAATAGAGAAAACTCTATTCTGAGGGAAATGAATATAATAAATACTTATTCTGAAAGAAAATAAACCTGGAATCTAAAGAAAAAATAATAAGTCAAAGATTTCTGTCCAAAAAACTTGCCCTCCCTGAAGTTTCCTGAGAGAATTACTAACCTTTATTCTCAATCTCTCTCTCAGACAGGCATACACAAGGTTGTCAGCACATGCCTGTAACAAAGTATCTGCCATCTGTGTTTGAAGCTCCTGTGGGAAGCCACTCCTTTCTCTGCTCATGGTTACTGGGTCTCTCAGACCTACTTCAGCTGATTCTGAAGGCTGACAGTCTATCTTTCAGTACTGCCAGAGCCAAAATGCTTTATATATATTATATAACCCATGTTTTAAATTTTAGACCATCATATAATCTTTAAATTGGATAAAATTCATGGATCTGGGATCTTTTCTTTTTCATGATCAAGTAATGAGCAGAGTAACCTAATTAGAAAACCCAGAGGAAATTCAGATGCCCTAAAGGAAAGGGAAACCTTTCATTTTGACATCTTTTTGGCTGCAACTGTCCTCTAATTCTAAACTTCACTTTTTTCCTGAACTGCAAATGGAAGTTGTGAAGGAAATTAATGGTGAACCTAATATACTTGAGAGAACATTTTCTTTCCTGAAACAGGTCTATTTATTGGAATACCACAAAGAAAAAATGAGTTAACCATTTGTTCTCCTATGTGATTCCAAAGTAGGATATTTTTTGGTCCAAGTATCTCTTAAATATGGCATTTTGAAAAGCATTAATGATGAACAATTATAAACAACTTAAAATGATTATATGATACATGTGAATGATAAACTAATGCCATTTAAATGTTTACAAAAAGTATTTTAAAAGACAAAAAAATGTTTAACATTCATTAAGTGTAAAAGCTACAAAATATATACACAGGATATAATCTTAATTTCAGTATGTTCATTTCTTTTTTTTTCAGTATGTTCATTTCTATGTACATATGTGACTATAAAGAAATACACTGAAATGTTAACAGCACCTATCTCTGTGTGGTAGTAATGATATTTGCTTTGGTAGGTTCTCTCTTATTATTCCATAAGCATGAGTATTTTTAACCATAAAAAATGTTAACTATAAAAACCCAATATATATATGTTTATAAACAAAATCCAAACATGATATGTACACTATGATTGAAATTATGTAAAACTATGTCTCATGGACACAGATGAAAAGGGAACATAAAAATTGTTATACTAGTGTGTAGGATTTTTATAGTTGAAACTTAATGTCTTATCTCCTTTGCTTATTGGGTGAATTAAACAAGAGAAATGGTCGAGCCCACAGTCGTGAATGTAAACATCAGGTAGGCAGTTAGATATGTAAGTCCATAGATTAGAGGAGGGGTATAAACTGAAAAAACAGTGTAGGAGTCTTCAGCATGCAGATGCTTATATACCAAAATACATTAATCAGACTGTCAATTTAGTGATTGGTTCAGAGATGCACACAATTCACCAAGTTATTAACTTACAATAGAAGATATACTTTTCTTATACCTGGAAGGTTCCAAGTCCTTATCTGGGAAAACTACTCACTGACCCCAGTATCAAATACCTAAAAATCAGATTAATGATTGGGAATTGCTTCAACACGGAATAAGAACAAAAGGGAAACAAACATTTTGCGAGATATTTCCTGTCCATGAAGGTTTGATGGACTTCCTCATAAAATAATCCATCTCTCTAGTTCCGATCATCAGATTCATTTCTTCCTTAATAAGGTAAGAAACACTGCCAACTTCAGGCTCTCAGGCTTTCTTTTACTATGTTCCAGAGATTGATATCTGCTCATATAATCTCCCCCTAATAGAAAGATACAATCAATTAGATTTCAGTCTATTAAACTGCAATTTCATTCCAATTCTTTCTCCCTGGAATTAAACTCAGATTACCTTGTTGAAGTCTTGAATGTTCCCATCTCTTCAGTCACAGATTTATAGGCAATTACCTGGTATATTTCTATCTGTGGCTAATCCTATAGTCTGTATGGGGGATTCATCATTAGTTTCATTCTCAGCCTGAATTCTTGGTAAGTATCTCATTGTTAACCACACACACCACCAATAGTTGGATTAAGTATATATGGTCAGTCAGTTCAGTTCAGTCACTCAGTCATGTCCGACTCTTTGCGACCCCATGAATCGGAGCACGCCAGGCCTCCCTGTCCATCACCAACTCCGGAAGTTTACTCAAACTCATGTCCATCAGGTCGGTGATGCCATCCAACCATCTCATCCTCTGTCGTCTCCTTCTCCTCCTTCCCCCAATCCCTCCTAGCATCAGAGTCTTTTTCCAATGAGTCAACTCTTCACATGAGGTGGCCAAAGTATTGGAGTTTGAGCCTCAGCATCAGTCCTTCCAATGAACACTGAGGACTGATCTCCTTTAGGATGGACTGGTTGGATCTCCTTGCAGTCCTAGTACATATGGTAGAAAACCAAAATAAAACATGAGGCTCCCTCAGTTCGTACTGGATACCTCACTAGATACAGTATGTCCACGCATCCATTTAATCCTTCCTCACATTAGCCCTGTGACATAGGTTCACATGAGGAAATAGTCTAGAAGTAAATTGTCCAAAGTAACAAAGCTGATAAAGAACTGCAATTCAAATGTCTTTAACATCATATTGATACTTCTCCATTATTTTCTTTATTATCAATCTGTTATCTTTTCAATTAAAAAGAGAAAGACGATCCGCAACAATAGAAACACATCTAATTCTTTTCTAGCAAAGCCTCTAAAACAGAAATCAACAAAAATGCTTTGCTCATTGTGTCACATGGAGGAAGCAGACTGTATCTGGATCTCTGACATTAAGTCATAAATGCCCAAAGGGCATATCAAGTCCATCACCATATTCAATAAACCCACTGTGATACTTAAACAGAATGAGTCCCAACTGAGTGTCTGCTGGTAAAAGAAGAAAAAAATTCTGACAACTTGGAAAGAGTTAGAATCTCAACTGCCATATGAAAAAAACAGAATTAGCCTATTACAGTTCCCTTAAAAATATTCTCCAAACTGTTTTAGGTTCACCATTAATTTTACAAACTTCACTGACAATAAAGGAAAGAGGTAAAAATTACAAACCATTAGAGGTCAGCTGCAGCCAAAAAACATCAAAATAAGGTTTCCTTTACCTCTGGGACATATGAATTTCCTCTCTAGACTTTTCAAGTTAAATTATTGAGCTGGTCAAAGAGTTTCGTTTGGGTTTTGTTACAGAAAAACCCAGAATGAACTTTTTTGGCTAACTGAGTATCTTCAAACAGCAATTTACAACAATAATGTAAGCACATAAATTAAAGTGCTTGCACATCCTTTATCTTGTTGGTATTAGGGATTCATTCAGACATTTACTAAACATCCACCATACTATAAGCAAAAATGGATCCAAGGATGAGTAAGACATGATCCTGCCAGTCAAGAAACTCTAAAAATAACACGCATGGTCCCATTTCACAGATAAGGAAACTAAGGCTCAAGGACTAAGCAACCTACTGCGGTCAAGAAGCTACTAAGTGGTAGAGCTAGGACTAGGATTTATTTTTTCATTTAATAAAATTGGCTGAACATCCCTTATATTTCAGGCACTGTAGCAGGCCCTGACTCATCCCAGTAGCCTAACTATTACACAGCTCAGAGGATTGACTGAAACTTCACTCATTTTATTACACTATATTGTAATTTCTTTACACCTCTTGACTGTGAATAATCTGAGAGCAGCAGGGACTATGTTTTCTTATCTCTGTTCCCACATAACACAGTGACCGAAACATAGAACTCAGTAATCATTTGTTAAACCTGAATTCACTGCTAAAAATATTCGCACTTCTACCATAAGCAAGGCACTTTAAAAGTGCAACAATGAATAATCTCTACTCTCAAAGTTTTGCAGTTTAGTGCTGGTGGGAAGAGGACAGTAGAGAAAGAACTTCATAAACATATAGGGCTGCACTGTCCACTACAATAGTCACTAGCTACAGATGTTTTAAGTTTGAATTTGATCAAAACAAACAAAATTTAAAAGTCAGTAGGCTACTGTATTAAACAACAGATGTGGTATAATATAAAAATATATTGGTCTTTGTCCCTGCTCCCTAAACAGAACTCTCAAAACTCTTGGAATTTCCCTAGTGATAGTGGTGTCTTTGTAATTCATAATAAGCCTCTTTTGATCATACTAGAGCTTATGCTAAAGAGGGGGCTTTTCTGTGGGGACCCTGGATAATTCTTGGATGGAGCTGTCACCAGAAAGACCAAGTGATGAAAGGATTGGAACTTTCAGCTCCACTGACCTCCAGGAAAGAGTGAGAGGGGCTGGAGACTGAGCTCTATAAAAACCCTTAAACAATGACAGCCAGAGAGTTTATGGGTTGGTGAACACATCAGCTTGTTGGAAGGCGGTATGCCAGAGGACATGGAAGCTCTATGTACTCCCCACTCCTGTATCTTGCCCTATGCATCTCTGCCGTTTGTCTGTTCCTGCTTGCATTCTTCCTAATAAACTGGCAAACAAAAGGAAAGTGTTTTCCTGAGATCTGTGAGCCATTTTAGCAAATTATCAAACTCATAGAGGGGAGATTGAGAGAACTCCTGATTCACAGCAAAGTACTGACTGGAGACATATTTAGTATGTCTTTTGTTACCCAAACATTATTGACCAGAAATGTTTCAATTCTCCAATCAGTTGGCGCCTGGAGAACTTGGCTGGTGTTAGACAACACATCAGATAAAGAACATTTCCATCACTGTGGAAAGTTCTATCAGACAATACAAAAGAGGGGAAAGAAAATCTAGTTTACATCTGAATACTAGGAAGCAGTCTTTAACTCAGTAGTGATTTAAAAACTCTAAAAATAGAAATCGGAGAAAAATAACTCAAATTAGAGTCTACCTTCCTGACGGATGTTAAAATCTAGAGGCCATTTATTTCATAACTCAGTCTTTTCAGGACTGGACTTAATAATCTTCTTCTATTTAAGGGCAGAGAAAGTACACTGTGGAAAAGTTAACTGCTCAAGTTACACAATGAGCCTACAGAAGTGCCCAGGATTAGAACTTGTGGAGTTTCCATCTAATAGTTTGGCTCCCTGAGCTCTCCCACCAAGACTTAGCACAGTTGTCAGACTGACAGATTCACTTGTAAACTGGCAGCCACGATCTGACAGGCATCATCTGATAGGGTGTGGATATAAGTGAGTTGAAGACTAACTGCTGGAAGGTGGCAGGCCTTTTATCCTCACACAGTCACCGAAGTGTCACATAAATGCTCAAGTAAGGACGGGACTTTCAGGTATTGGTGGCTATGGCAAGTACACTGACAAGAAAATCTGTCTTCAGATCTAAAAAGGTGCATACCATACAGGGATGAGGATGAGTTTCATGTCACTAAATCTCAGCCAACATGAAAGGAGAAATTTTATTACAGATTGCCGATTGCTGGCTTGGAAACTTAGAAAGCTATTTCTAATTAGCTAAGATGCAATTTGCAGCAGAGTAGTCTCCAAAGCTAAAGGCAAGGTCAGCTTTTATAAAACAACAACAAACATTTTTTTTAAATTACAAATAGCAAAAGTTCCTTTTTAAAAAATAATCTTATAGTATAGTTGATTTACAAAGTTGTGTTTAATTTTTGCTGTACACAAACTGTGACAGCTTCCTTTCCACCTCTCCTTTAGCAAACCAAGCTCCCCAGAGGTGACCACAGCTAATTTGTTGACTATTCTTTTAGACTTTCTTCTAAATATATACAATGACATTTAAAATACATAAATATATATTGTTGTGGTTAAGTCACTAAGTTGTGTCCGACTCTTTTGCAATCCCATGGATTTTAGCCCACCAGGCTCCTCTGTCCATGGGATTTCCCAGGCAAGAATACTGGAGTGGGTTGACATTTCTGCCTCCAGGGGATCTTCCTGACCCAGGGATGGAATACGGCACTTGCATTGGCAGGTGGATTCTTTACCACTGAGCTACCTCAGAAGCCATAGGCATATGTGAACATGCCTTAAAAGGGGGAGAGGGAGATAAGCAATTTGGAGTGATTGATAATAGGTTATTGTCACATAAGCATGCTCATGCTCAGTCGTGTCCAACTCTTTGCGACCCCACAAACTGTAGCCCACCAGGCTCCTCTGTCCATGGGATTTCCCAGGCAAGAATACTGGAGTGAGTTGACATTTTCTTCTCCAGGGGATCTTCCCAACCCAGGGATTGAACCTGGGTCTCCTGCATTACAGGCAGATTCTTTACCACTATACCACCTGGGAAGCCGAATAATAGGTACAGAGTTTCTTTTGTATGACAAAAATGGTATCAAACTAGATTGTGGTGATGGTTGCAAAATTCTGTGACTATACTAAAAACTACTGAACTGTGCACTCTGAATGAAATGTAGATCTGTGAATTATATCTTAATAAAGCTGTTTAAAATTATATAAATGGAACCGTAATACAGGTAAACTTTTGGGATTAGTTTTTTTCACTCAGTATGATTCTCTGGAAATGAATCTAGATCATTGCATTGATACTTCATTCTCATTCCTTTGTATTGCAGAGCAGTATTCCATTGTATGGATATATCACAGTTATATTTTTAATCAGTATCGAGAATGAGCATCTTCTAAGATATTTATTGTTCAACTGCTGTTTTTTCACTTATGAATTATCCTTTCATATCCTTGACTCCATTCCTACTTTCCTCTTTTCTATTAGCCCTGTGTCATATGGACTGCAAATTCTTTCTTCTCATTTAACTTTGCTTATGATGATGTTTGCAATTATGTTTTTTACTTTTATATAGTCAAATATACCTCTATATTGACTTTTATGTAGTCAAACACTCTTCTATATTTTCTCCTAATAATATATTTATGTACATCTTTTACATTAAGATTTTTAATACATCTGCATCAGGAGGCCTGGGTTCTAGTCCTGACCATGCTATAACCTAGCTCAAACATTCTGAGCAGGTCACCAGTCTATGGAATCTACTTAACACAATTATTTAGAGAAACAAATAAAACTAGATACAAAAAGGATTCTCTAAAAATGTTCAATAGATACCTATCAATTATGAAGAAAATTTAAAGCATTTTATGTATATAAATTTGTACTGGTTACAATACTATTTCCTTTCCCTATGCCACATACTAGAAACCTCACAATGTTGGTCTCAGAGAATAAGTAGCTTGCTCTCCCCCAAATCCTAAGTCTAAAGAGGTCAAGTGACTCAACCAGGATCACAGGAGAAATTTCGGGAAGAGTTACTTCTAGAAGTGAACACAAGTGGTTATGCCCAATGCCCTCCCCAGAAGTCAGAAAAACACCATTCTTCAGAGTTAAGGCTTCCTAAAAATGAACTTTAATCAGTTGTCTGTATTTGTATCTTTATACTAGAAACAAAAACAAACTACTATCTGAAAAAAGTAGAGCTTATAATTAGAGGTGAAAGTAGACAGAGCCAAATGAGAGTGCTGAATTTCAAGTTATTGGTTCCCACCTTGCTTCCGACAGCCTGGGATTTTGATAAAGGCTCCATAGTCTGTGACCATAGCAACCTAAAAAAACAAACAACAAAAAAAGAATCTTTGTCACACAAATGAGCTCTCACCTGTAGAATTTAACCTCATCTCTTTGAATTTTCACTTGGTACTGACTGCCTGTGTCTGTTGCAAAACTGCCTAAAAGTGATATTCTGTCAAACATGTTTTCTGTTCTTTTTGAGATTTAAACTGACAGGTATGTGTGATTTTAATAAAAACATTGGTGAGACTGGGGTTATGTCAGATGGTATGATAGTACTTGTTGTTCAGTCACTAAGTCATGTCCAACTCTTTGCGAGGCTTCTCTGTAGGCTTCTCTGTCCTTCACTATCTCCCTGAGTTTGCCCAAATTCATGTCCATTGAGTTTGTGATACCATCCAACCATCCCACCCTCTATTGTCCCGTTTTCCTCCTGCCCTCAATCTTCCCCAGCCATCAGGGTCTTTTCCACTGAGTCAGTTCATTGCATCAGGTGGCCAAAGTACTGAAGCTTCAGCTTCAACATCAGTCCTTCCAATGAATATTCATGGTTGATTTCCTTTAGGACTGACTGGATTGATCTCCTTGCTCTCCAAGGGACTCTCAGGAGTCTTCTCCGACACAATTTGAAAGCATCAATTCTTTGGCACTCAGCATTCTTTATGGTCTAAGTCTCACATCCGTATAAAGTTACAGTTTATATTATCTGGAACGGAGGTCCCCAATCCAAATAGATAAGTTTAATAATTTGGGTTGGATTGTGTAAGACATCTCTTTTTCCTGAACTCTGAACCAGTAAGACCATACAGCTTGCTCTATTTCACTCCAAACCAGAGTCTTGGGTTTTATCAAGACAATTAAAGAAAAAGTCATTACACAGACAACATCTGACAGAACTTGAAAAGATATAATCAGAAAAAGTTGTCTTTTGCAGAGTTGACCTAAAATAAAGAAGTAAGATGCTTGATGTTAGTCACTCAGTCATGTTTCACTGTTTGCGACTCCATGGCCTATAGCTCACCAAAATTGATGCTTTCAAACTGTGTTGCTGGAGAAGACTCTTGAGAGTCCCTTGGACAGCAGGGAGATCAAACCAGTAAATCCTAAAGGAAATCAACCCTGATTATTCATTGGAAGGACTGATGCTGAAGCTGAAGCTTCAATACTGTGGCTACCTGATGCAAACAGCCAACTCATTAGAAAAGGCCCTGATGCTAGGAAACACTGAGGGAAAGAGAAGGGGGCGACAGAGGATGAGATGGTTGGTTGGCATCACTGACCCAATGGACATGAGTTTGAGCAAACTCAGGGAAATAGTGAAGCACACGGAAGTCTGGTGCGTGGTGCAGTTCATGGGGTAGCAAAGAGTCAGACACAACTTAGCGATTGAATAACAACAACAAAAGAGGCTTGATGGATCTATGTAATATGCAGGCCATAGGAACCAAAAACATAAGGCCCAAAAGCCTTGTCAAACAAATCATCATCTCAGACTCTACCTCTACTGCTGTCCTCCCCTCTATCCTCTAACCCCTGCTTCCAATTGTGGATTGGGATTAAAGTTGCCACTAAATACTGTATTTATCACTAAATTCATTATTATTTATAAAATATTCAATACAATGTTACACACATAAACTTTGTTCTTTCCAGTGACTTTAAACATAGTTGTTTCATCTTGAGCAATCACTGTTTACGCTTAAACATAACTAAAACAAGCGGAAGGAAGAAGGGAAAGGGGAAGATAAATTTTGCTGCACCTCTATTCACTGCTGCTGCTGCTGCTAAGTCACTTCAGTCGTGTCTGACCCTGTGTGACCCCATAGACAGCAACCCACCAGGCTCCCCCGTCCCTGGGATTCTCAAGGCAAGAACACTGGAGTGGGTTGCCATTTCCTTCTCCAATGTGTGAAAGTGAAAAGTGAAAGTGAAGTCACTCAGTCGTGTCCGACTCGTAGCGACCCAATGGACTGCAGCCCACCAGGCTTCTCCGTCCATGGGATTTTCCAGGCAAGAGTACTGGAGTGGGGTGGCACTGCCTTCTCCCTCTATTCACTAACATATACTAAATACTCACTACATGCAAAACACTATTCAAAGTGCTTTACATAATCCTCATGACACCATATAATGTTGGACTATTATTACTCTCATTTGATGGATGACAAAACTGAGGCATGGAGAGACCAAGTGTTCAGATACACAATGTTCAAAGCTAGTAAGTAGCAGAGCTGTAGTTTGAACCCAGGGAGTCCTTAATGACACTACAGCTGCGCATGGGTTCCTTTTAACTATAAAACTGTTAACAGCCAAAAGCAATGTGACATTTGTTATCTTATCTGCTCCTGGCAACAATCTCAGGGGTATATACAGTGGGCCCCCATGTTCCAGATGAGGCAAAACAGTTTAGACATAGGAAGAGCCCAGGCTTTGAAATGAAAGATGCAGCTTCTAATCCCAGCTCTGCCACTTCTTTCTTACCTGTGGAATCTTGAACAGAACTTGCTTTCCCATTTGTACTCATTTTGCTGCTGCGAATAACAAATCAGGTACTGGTACCCGGCATCCAAAGTACATTCAATAAATTGTAGCTTTCTATTAATTTAGTCTAAAACACTGAAGCACAAAAATGCGAGTGACTACTGGAACAGCAAAACAATTAACTTAGACACAGTAGGCACAGAATCTATATCCTTTGACTCATAATACAGTGCCTCATAGTCCACCAAACATTATCACTACTCACTTCAATGTTAGGATAGAAATAGATAAAAACTTCCACTCTCCTCATTCTTAAATGGGCACTTAAACTAACTCTCCAAGATATAGCATTAAGAATGGGTTAAGAACCAACATTTCTAAACTCCTGTTTTAAAATGACAAATATACTATGTTGGGGTAGAGACCAGGTATTCCCAAAGAAACAGGACAATGAGGCAAATACTGTACTTAAAATCAAGGCAAGGTGGGCTTTAGAGATTAGTTGATCCAATCCTGTCATTTTTCAAATGATGAAAGTGAAGACCAAAGACATGAAGTACTTATCCAAGTTCACAAAGCAAGTTGTTCTCCGTAAAAAGGGCTGCATGGATAAAGGAGATAAAACTTAATATTTTTAGCTACAATAAAAGAAAATCCCTTCTTCTTTCTGGACCAACTAAAGGCACTCTGGCTTTTGCTCCAGGGTTCTAGATAGAGGGCTGAAATGCTTCATATTGGGAAACATCATTATTTAAGGGCATAATTATCTAAACAACTTAAAAGCAGCATCTGGAAATTGAGGCCCAATCACCTTACTGCTGTAAAAACAGTATCACCTTTCAGTCCTGAAACTTCACTGTCACTTTATGATCTTTTGTGGAAATAGCCTAACAGATCTTAATTTGGCCTATCCCAAAAGAGAAGGTTAATGTGCTCCACAATGAATGCACTCAACTGTTTAGTTAGGAAAACACATTCCTGCCCATTTCTAACACTAGGTGTTTCCATCACTGTGTCTCTTAGGGTGCAGTCAGACTTGAAATTAACAGAATGGCACCTGCCTTAGATGATTACACAGTCTGCCTGGTGTCCCAAGAACAATTAATCAAACAGCTCAGGGGAGAAAATTCAGTAATTATCTCAACTGAACTCAGGGCTTGGGTAAAATGAATTTACCATCTTCAGATTAGACGTTGCATCAGCCTTAAAAGTAGTTATTCCCATAATGTAAACGACGAATCTGAGGCTCAGAGACATAAGTTATCTGTCTAAAGTCACAAAGTTATAAAGTATCAGGAACAGGTACAGAAGTTTTCTGACTTCTAGTCCAATGTTATTTCCAATTTACCAACACCAATCTTGCTTCAGCATTTCTTTGGCTATGGCTGGGTTAAGCCAAATCCCAAATCTCATTGCTATGCTTGTACCCCTACCATGCTTAATGGATTCTGGCACCAAGATGCCTCCCAGAGGACAAAAGAAGGATGAATATTAGCTTGTCAGCAATCCTGTCACTGGGCCCCCCAACTATGCTGAGCCTGCTAAGAGAACCACTACAATATGGGCCACACCACCAGTTTCTTCAAAGGGAACTGATCCTAAATGCTTAGATTCAAATTTAATTCAAACATTTATTTACCAAGCACCCATATGCAAGATACAACTTAAGGCACTATGGAATAAAATACAACGTTAAAAAAAAGAGATGCTCGGTCTATTTTTAAATAAATTTGAATTAGTTACCAAGATACATAAGATAAACATAGCCTCTGCTCTCCAGTAACACACATTCTTGTGGAGGAGACAGACATATACACGAGTAACCATAGTATAATATAAACTATAAATGTCATGATAGAGGTACAAACAAATGATGGTAAACAACAAGTTTACCATCTACCTTCCTCCTATATTTCCCAATTTAGTCAAGAGTTCTCTTTCGGATCTTTTGGTTCCACCACACATGTATTGAACAAACCCAGCTGCAGACTTGGAGAACTTGATTTAGAACTTGCCATTTATTAACCATCCGGGCAATTATTTAGCTTCTAAGAAGTTTCATTATGGGATTAACAATTTCTTCCAAGAAAGTCAATGACACATAACGTGTGAAAGTGCTGACATACATCAGGCTTACAAAAATTTTTTTAACTTTAATGCAAATACTTCTTTATAAATATTAGGCACTCACTGAATGTTTGCTGGATGAATATTCTGAAAAAGTTTCTTCTTTTTAATTTATCGTGAAATTGCTCTTTCTCTAATTCCAGTCACTTCTAGGCATTTTTCAAAATGTGTTCCTGAAATACTAGAACTATAGTTTTAGTATTAAAACTATAAAGTTCTTTCTGAACATTACTCTAGCCCATACATCCTTGACCAATAAAATATAAAACCTACACTCAAGCCCTGTCTCATATAAAAAGATAAAGGTTAGGAGCCACTTTACCGGAAATCTGAGTCAGTTTGTGGAAAGAGCTCCTCTTTCTTTTGTGCACCTGACAAGTGAGGCCTTCATGATCAGAAAAATCAGTTTTATCCCCTGAGCTACCATTTCTTCTTTTCGTGCTCTAGTATCTCACTGACCTCTGGAGATACCATAGGCCCTGAAGAAAGAGGACAGAGGTTCTGAAGAGCAGTTGTTTGCTATTTGTCAGAATGTTATCATCCTTTCTATCTTGACTTATACATTACCAGTTGGAATCCACTTAATAGAAGGCTAGAACCACATTTATCTATAATCAACCAACAGTCACATAGTCTGTCTTCAAAGGCCTCACATTATAAGGTGGTAAAACTTTTGTCAACCATAAAGTATGAATGCCATAAGAATGATATAGTTAAAATAGGTACTCATAAGACACTGAAAACAATCTCTTTTGCTTTAAAAGAAGGGAGATAACATTAGGGCTGAGACCTAAAAGATGAGAAGTTGGTGAGAAACCAGGATGGTTAGAGACAACTGCATGTACAAAAGTCCTGAGAAGGAAGCAGGCTTAAGAATGTTTGAAGCTAAAAGGAGCCAGAGTTAGCGTTGTTGTTTTAGTCACTAATTCATGTCTGACTCTTTTGCAACCCCATGGACTGTAGCCCACCAGGCTCCTCTGTCCATGGGATTTCCCAGGCAAGAAAACTGGAGTGGGTTGCCATTTCCTTCTCCAGGGGATCTTCCCAACCCAGGGATCGAATCCGCATTTCAAATCACATGGACAGAGGAGCCTAGGGGGCTACAGTCCATGGAGTTACAAAAATATCAGATACGACTTCGCAATTAAACAACAACAAGACAATGAATAGAGTGAAACAAAACAACACTGCCAGAGTAAGCAGAAGCCAAGTCAGGTAAGGGTCATAAAAACAAATTTGGATATATTTAACTGTAATGAGAAGCCGAGAAGAGCTTCAAGAAAGCAGCTTTGTCCAATCTGTTTTTAAAATGATATTCTGCTGGTTCATAATACATTGGAATAGCTGGATCCAAACTAGAAAGAATAAGCTGTACAGGAATTAGTGCTCAATGTATATTGTATAAATTTGTTGAAATCTTTTGGAAAAACAAATAAATAAAATAAAAAAATAAAATGATATTCTGGGCAATTTCCTGGTGGTCCAGTGGTTAGGACTCTAGGCTTTCACTCCCAAGGGCTTGGGTTCAACCTAGTCAGGCAATTATGATCCTGTAAGCTGTGCAGTGTGGCCAAATAAATAAATAAAATGTTATTCCGGTTACAATGTGGGAAAACAGATTGGAAGGGAACTACAAAAGAAGTTGGGAACCCAGGAAAGGCTAGGAAAGAGATGGAAAACTTAAACTAATGGGGTGCCACAGGGATAAAGAAGTATGGACACAAGAGACATATTTGGGAGGCAGAAAGATAAGACTTGCTAATAGACTGGAGAGAAGAAAAAAGACCAAATCAAGTGAAGAAATCAAGGATGATGCCTGCATTTCTAGCGTGGGTACCTGAATGAATACTGGGTTCATTTGCTGAGATGGGAAAGATCGAAAGAACAGATTTCTTGAGAAAATCAAAAATTCAGTTTAAAACATAAATTAGAGGGAGTTCCCTGGTAACCTAGTGGTTAGCATTCCAGGCTTTCACTGTAGTGGCCCAGGTTCAATCCCTAGTCGAGTAACCAAGATTCCAAAAGACACGAAGCATGACCAAAAAAAAAAAATAAAATCCCATAAATCAGAGATGCTATGAGGTATCCAAATGAATATGTCAAGTCTGTAGTTAGAAGTCTAGAGCTTAGAGGAGGTACATGTGGGAGCCAGATGTTCTACTATCCCTTCCCATTTAAGCTGTAATGTTCAAGGCATTCTCAAGTACTCAGGAGCTCCAAACCCTGTTGCTTTTCACCCTTAATCTATGCTTAATGTAAATGGTAGGTTTTCAAAGACAAGAGACTATACCTCTCCTTGGAAAATAGTGTAGAGAGCAGGTAAGTTCTCCATGGTCTCGGGTCTTCCTGAATTCATCCTTAATGCTCTATGGTTCCTCCATTTCTCTTCTGCTAAAGCTAACTGAAGTATTCTGTTACAAAGAAATAAAACAAGCAACAATGAGAAACATATTTGTATTTTAAAAAAATGTGCTGCTGATCCATAGGTTGTCCCTACAGAATAATACCATTAGAGTTAACACCATGTACTTTTACGTAAACCTCTTGTCCACCGTAATTATGGGGAGTTTTGGAAACCTTGATCTTACTTCTTTTCAGTTTGATACTTACCCAAGGCCATTAGCCTATTATTTTTTAACTGTTATTACTGATACTCTTTTGCCAAGCAAAGGCTTTTGGTGGGGGAGGGGGGGGGTGAACGGATCTGTAAAAAAAGGAATAATAGTAATAAAAGCTAACATTTATCAAGCACTTACTATGTCCAGGCTCTATGCTAAGTACTGAACATCCACTATCTAATTTAATTCTCAAAATTCTCAAAACGTAGGTTCTATTAATTATCGTATACATGGATGAGATAACCAAGGCTTCCAGATGTCAACTTAATAGGTCTAAGTCAAAAAGCCAGAAAATGGTAGAGTTAAATTCTGGCTGACATCAGAGTCCATGCTTTTAACAATAATGCTGTGCTGTACTCAGTTGTTCGGTTGTGTCTGACTTTTTGTGACCTCATGGGCTGTAGCCCACCAGGCTCCTTTGCCCATGGAATTTTCCAGGCAAGAATACTGGAGCAGGTTGCCATTTCCTACTCCAAGGGATCTTCTCCACCCAGGGATCAAACCTGCGTCTCTTGCATTGACAGGTAGTACTGTACCATCTGGGGAGCCCTTTTAAAAATTATACTAGGCATTGAAATGACTGCAAAAAGAGAGTATAGCTTACTTTTTTCCCTAATGAAATTAAAAACATGCATGCTCATTTTAAAAGTTCATATAACACATTAATAATGAAGAAAAGAAAATCATCTTTAATTCAGCCTGATTTATATCCTTTCAGACTTTTTATATGTACAAATGGGTTTTTTAATGGAATCATGAAACCATTAATTAATCTTAATAGCCATTTTCTTCTATATTTTAATAATTCATACACAAATACACACACCTTTTTTTAATGCCTATATAATAATCCCATTGCTGGATGCACTGAACTTATTTATCTATTTATGAATCATATCAAAATGCAGATTGCAATTCAGTAGGTCTAGGGTGGTGCCCGGAGAAGGCAATGGCACCCCACTCCAGTACTCTTGCCTGGAAAATCCCATGGATGGAGGAGCCTGGTAGGCTGCAGTCCATGGGGTCTCTAAGAGTCGGACACGACTTCACTTTCACTTTCATGCATTGGAGAAGGAAATGGCAACCCACTCCAGTGTTCTTGCCTGGAGAATCCCAGGGATGGGGGAGCCTGGTGGGCTGCCGTCTGTGGGGTCGCACATAGTCGGACACGACTGAAGTTCCTTAGCAGTAGCAGTAGCAGGGTGATGCCCAAAAAAGGGCATATCTAACAAGCTCCCAGGTGATACTGATGCTGCCAGAGTAGCAAGTCTCAGGACTCTGAAGTTGGAAGAGATCTTAGAGGTACTCTTGCTCAGCTTTCTGGTTTTAAATAGAGAGGAAACTAGCAACCTAGTAGCTCTTAACCATGGCTCTTTACACTGCAGGATAAATCACTGCTGTGCTGTGTGCTGTGCTAAGTTGCTTCAGTGATAAGTCGGACTCTCTTGAGACCCCATGGACTATAGCCCACCAGGCTCCTCTGTCCATGGGATTCTACAGGCAAAAATATTGGAAAGGACTGCCATGTCCTCTTCCTGGGGATATTTCCAACCCAGGGATCAAACGTGCCTCTCTTATGTCTCCTGCATTGGCAAGGAAGGTTTTTTTTTTACCACTCACACCACCTAGGAAGCCCACAGTGCAGTATAATCAGTGCTTAAAAAAAAAAAAAGTGATTAGGTTTAAAGTATTAAGAAAACAAGAAAGATAAGAGAGGCCTGGGGGAAACAAGGAAGTTCAAAAGGTGACAGGTAGACCTTTAAGAATAAATGGAAGTCCTCTAGCAGAGAATACTGTTTGTTGGCCTCAGTAAGCATGTTTGATTCTTTGCAAGCCACTAGACATTAAGACCTGAAACTATTTCCCTTGAGTTTTCATAAGCAAATACTTCGTCTTCTCCTGAACCCTGAGCACATCCCCATACTTCCAGATAATTACTTCAGGTCCTACTTTTGGAAAATCTTCCTGATTTACAATGACCATCCAGTAACTGAACAGTCTCACTGAAAACAAAAATGAAAGAAAATTCTGTCAGCCTTTCAAATCCTAGTTCTAAAACATCCCAACACCCAGGAACATCCCTGTCCTTGAGTTCCATAAGACAACTCATATCCTTAAAATAAACTTGCCCTTTTTTGGTTAGGTCAGCCAGAGATGAGTTTTATTACTGATTTGACAGTTCCTGAGAAATGGCTGATAAATAGCTTAAATCTAAGCATCATAGCCTGATTGGATCCTGCCTCTTCCAATTTCCAAGCCATGCAGTCTCATCTCTAGTCCCTCCCTTCCCTCAGCCCAGCTTCCTCACCTCATATCCTAGAACAAAAGTTATTAACCTGAGGCCAATGACTCTTAACAAGAAACCTCAATTATCCCTTCAACTCTTGGACCACTACTGAGGTACAGACTCCATAGAGGCATCAGCAGCTAGGACATCTAAATTAAATTCAAACAACCTACTCTATCAACTGTTCTTCTCTAAACAAAAGTCACAGAAAGAGCTATACAACTTTAAGTTATTTCTTACAGATTTTTGCTGTGATAAGAGTATCAACAGCTAAGCTTAAAGCTCTCCTATTTGCTCCTTTTTTAGAACAGTAGCTTGAGAAACCCTATGAAATTCTTCAAGCAGGAAACTGGGATGCATTTTTGAGAGAAATCTTATTATACAACAGTAATAGGCTTACAATTTCAGGACTGTAAAGGGTTGCCATTTTTTTTAATGGTATTTAGATTTTTTTCAAATTATATTCTGCAGAAACCTAGGGTTTTATAATGGTTATTCAAATGGAATACAAATTGGAAAAGAAGTAGAACTGTCACTGTTTGCAGATGACATGATACTATACATAGAAAATCCTGAAAATGCTACCAAAAAACTACTAGAGCTCATCAATGAATCTGGTAAAGTTGAAGGATACAAAACCAATTTAAATACAAAGTAATATACAGAAATCTGCTGTATTTCTATACACTAACAATGAACTATCAGAAAGAGAAATTAAGGAAACAATTCCCTTATAATCGCATCAAAAATAATCAAATACCTAGGGAAAAATCTACATAAGGAGGCATGGTAGTTATCTAGAAGCTTCTCAACAACTCAAGTTCATTTTTAAAAAGTCTGTTCTGAGATATCTAAGGACCTCAAAAAAGTAGGACCGAGGCCAACCAACCAAAACAGAGTCTCCATACTAAAGATGAGGGAGCACAAGCAAAATAAATCAGAGGAGAGGTCTCACCCCAGCAGTTGGGAAGCAAGGAGCCTCGCCCCAGTAATTAGGTAGATGCTGATCATCTTTTTTATTTTTTAAAAATATTTATTTATTTAATCTATGACTGTGCTGGGTCTTCCTTGCTGGGCCTGGGCTTTCTTTAGTTGTGGCACAGGCTTCTCACTGTGGTGGCTTTTCTGTTGTGGAACACCAGCTCTAGGGCCAGGCTTAGTTGCCCCACAGTATTTGTGAATTTAAGTTCCCAGACCAGGGAGAGAACCCGTATCCCTGCATCAACAGGCAAATTCTTAATCACTGGACCACCAGGGAAGTCCTAAACACTTGATTATTGCTGATTCCTACTGCCCTCCCAGCTTTGGGATGTGTTATGGTGGGGCAGGGGGTGGATTATAGGATGGGGCCTACTTTTAACAGTATGTTCTGCTTTGATCTGGTTTACCTATTAAGCTTTCTTTTTTTTAATGTAACATTTCATTTGGAAAAAAACAGTTATGTTGCTTTTAAAAAGTTTATAAAACATTGAGATAGGTATAGTAGTCTAGTTCAATAAGACCAAACCTGTGGATTTAAAAGGCTTAGTAAATTGACAAGGAATGAGGTATACCATTTGGAGTTGCCTTGCAATAGTTCTAAAGACAGAAAATCTCCCTTAATTGTTTCATTGACTGCTTTAAGTAACTATGATAAATAGGGAAGCAATAGGGATCCAGTTATTTGCTACTTCCTTCCCAAAACAAAGGGCAGCAAAGAAAATAGAGTGTAGGAATGGAAATGGGAACAGAAGGTGTAGCATGGGAATGGGAGGTGTAGCAGGGGAATGGCAGCCCAGAGTGAAGTTAGAGCCTATGCTGGGTGAAGAGGAAATTTGCAAAGAAGAGCAATCCAGTGTGGGGAGAAGCAGTATGATGAGGATGTCTGCACACTGGGGTAATCCAATGGAGAGTCAGTGCCCAAGGCTGGAAGAGCAAGGTGTGAGGATTCGAGGTAGTTAGGTAAGGTTAATTTTCTGATTTTAGAAGTTATATTATAGTTACACAAAAGAATGTCCTTGTTTGTAGAAAAACTAATTCATGGGAGACGGGGCAACAGTCAGCAACTTAACTTGCAAATGATTAATTAAAAAGTGGTTTTTGTACTGCACATCCATAATTTTGTAATTCTTCAGGCTTTTTTTTCATGTGCCTGCAATTGGGGAAAAAAATAACCACATCCTCTTCTCCTATCTCTCAAGCAATGAGAAGTTCATAGAATATTAAATTGGAAAGATACTACTATATAGCCACTTTGGAACTTGATTTCATGTGTCGCCTTACTGATCTGACTCAAGATTACAAAACCATGCATGACGGAGATGGGATTCAAATCCTATTTACTAATTTTTTTCTTTTTTTTTTTCTAGATTGTGAAATTCTAAGCATGCCCTTGTCTTGATCATCACCAGATCCTTCAAATCATCAGTGCTTATCACAGTATGGAGCACACAGAAATGTATAACTGTCAACTGAATTACTGAAGTACTTAATTTTACTTGATTTTAAATTGTTAGTTAATTTATCAATTCAGCACCTTCATTGATGTTTATATGTCAGGCTCTGTGTTAGGCACTTCATAAACCTCCTTTCAATTCTTATAACAACTCTACAAAGTAGATATCTCCATTTTAAAGGAATGAAGTAACTTGTCCAAAATTCATAGCTAGTGTTAGTCATTCAGTCATATCTGACTCTTTGTGACCACATAGACTGGTAGATTGCCAGGCTTCTCTGTCCATGGGATTCTCCACACAAGAATACTGGAGAGGGTTGCCATTTCCTTCTTTAGGGAATCTTCCCAACTCAGGGATCTAACCCAGGTCTCCTGCATTGAAGGTGGATTCTTTACCACCTGAGCCACTACAGAAGCCCCAAAATTCATAGCTTGAAAGACACAAACTTTAGGCTGTGCCAAGAGACACACATACTTGCCACTAAACCATCCTTTTCATCACCATCTCTGTCCTCAGAAACTTCCTAGTCATGTAAGTAAGGATAATGGTGACCAATTACAATGCAGTAGATCAGTGCTTCAAAAAAGTGATTAGGTTCAAATTATTAAGAAAACAAGAAAAAGAAGAAGGGCCTGGGGAAAACAAGGAAGTTGAAAAGTTGAAAAGGTGACAACTGACTAGACCTTTAGTGATAAATGGAAGTCCTCTAGCAGAGAATACTGTTTGTTGACCTCATAAGCATGCATGCCTGCATACTCAGTTGTATTCAACTCTCTGCAACCCCAAGGACTGTAGCCCATCAGGTTTCTCTGTCCGTGGGATTATTCCAGTAAGAATACTGAAAGTGAAAGTCACTCAGTTGTGTCCGACTCTTTGCAACTCCATGGACTATACAGTCCAAAGTGGACTGCCATCTCCTCCTTCAAGGGGATTTTCCCAAACCAGGGATGGAACCTGCATCTCCTTATTGGCAGGCAGAATCTTTACCACTAAGCCACTTAGGAAGTCAACCTCCTAAGAAACCAGGACCTATTGACCTCTATTTTCTCCCAATCTATCAGCCTTCTCCTTTTTCTTCAGTTTCCTCCTTATCCAGCTTAGATTCTATAGTCCATCATTCAAACAACAGCCTAACTTCCCTTTAACTCTGTCTTTATAACTCACCTAACCAGCAGCACCTCTACGCTGATGGAATGCAGCAGATATCAGAACCCATTCTAACTAGGTTAAGCAGAAAGGGATTTACTGCCAGGTATTATGTGACTTACAAAATTACTGGAAGGGCTATAAGAAGTATTGGTAGAACTTCCCAGGAACAACTCCTAACCCACAAAACAACAGTTTTCACCATGATAAGAAAGTTATGGCTCTCACTACAGAAACTCACAGAAACAAAAAGCCTCTGCTTTATTTGTCAGCAAAACAGGGCACCTTTCACCTTCCTCCTCTCACTTCTAAATTCAATTCTCATCTTAGGTGCAAAGAAGTCCAGGAAATCTCTGGCTCTCAGTTCCACCAATATCCCAGTCTTCACTGCCAGCAACTCTCAACTAAGTGGTGTATCTGCATCTATCTCCACTCCAGGATATTCACACTACCAAGCCTGAGGCATCAAGCTGCCTTCCCCGCACCACCACCCTCTCCAACCAGCAAAAAAAAAAAAAACAACAACCCTGTGATTGCCCATTAATCTTAAAGTAAAAGATACAAAGTCTGGCCTCTACCCGCCTCCAGCTTCATCTTGTACCACACTCCCCTTCATTCTCTGTCCTGGCTACAATGGCCTCTTTGTGCCTTTTAGTCATTTTTCTCGCATTTGCCACAGGACTTCTGCACATGGTGTTCTAGATGGAACATTCTGCCTTCCTCGCTTCACCCAACTAATTATAATTCTTCCCTGAGGATATCAGTTCAGGCATATTTTCCTCAGAGAAGCCTTCCTGTTTATTCAGGCACTCAAAACACCACGTACCTCTCCTAGGTAGCACACACTTCGTACTTCACATTCCCTAGTGAGATCACAAGTGAGCATCTATTTTCTCCCAACCTCGGACTCAAAGCTCTGAAGTCAGGGGCCATGTTTGGTTCACAGTGTCTCCCCAGCACTCTGCATTAGTTGGATGACGGAGAAGAAGGCCTAGTTCACAGGTCTGAGTACGAATTTCTCAACAAAACTGTACTCTGGAGGCCAAGACTCTGACATTTCCTTCATCTCTCTTTCTCAGGAGCACTGAGGAGGCGCTAATAAAGGCTGCGGAAACATGGCAGTGACAAGTCGGCCTCCTCAATCAGAAAGGACCCTGGTGGAGGTTAGGAGATGGGCCTTTTCTCCCTGGGAGCGCCTGGCTCAGGGCTCTGCACGGAAGGTACTGTTGAAGAAGTCAGCCATTGAAGGCCCCAGGCTGGTGCAGAGGCTCCCAAAACTCTGCTCCAGGCTAGAAAGGGAATCCAGGCTATGTGCTAAGTCGCTTCAGTCGTGTCCGACTCTGCGACGCCGTGGGCTGTAGCCCGCCAGATTCCTCTGTCCGTGGGATTCTCCAGGCAAAAACACTGGAGTGGGTTGCCATGCACTCCCCCAAAGGATCTTCCCCACTCAGGGATCGAACCCTCGTCTCTTAGGCTTGAAACTCAGGCTACTACACACCAGAGCTAGGAACTCGAGGCCCCCCTTTGCTCCTTGCAACCAAACCTGCAGCTGAGAAGGGCCAGCCTCAGACCACACAACGGAGGCGCCTCCTCCAAACCCCACAGCCACCCGCCCCTCGACCTTCCTTACACTTACTCGTAGTCAGCTTCTGATCTTCCCCTCGCAGCATTGCGCGAAACACCAAAACCCAGTCAGTGAGCTTCCACCCACAAGACACAGCGCGCCTAGGCGGGACTCCAGCTCCATCCACCAATCCTAAATTCGTACCCTAGTGATGTCAGAAAGAACTGACCAATAACAGGAAACTTCTCAGGGGGCGGTGCTGAGAGGTATATTGGAAGTCGATTGGGTTCTATCGGCCGGAAGTTCTACGGGAAAGACTAAGTCCGAGCCAATCGCGAGGCGCCTGAGGGTGTCGGCGCGGTCAGTGGCGGCCTGAGGAGAGCGGCCGCCGCCATGATAGAACAGCAGAAGCGTAAGGGCCCAGAGTTGCCACTGGTCCCAGTCAAGCGGCAGCGACATGAATTACTGTTGGGAGCGGCAGCGTCAGGCCCTGGAGCCGGGCAGCAGCAGGCGGCGCCGGGAGCTTTGCTGCAAGCGGTGAGTATAAGGAGCAGGCGGCCTTCGGCCCTCAGCTCATCTTCCTCTCCAGCGCTTGCACCTGGTGATCCTGCGCGGCCCTTAACCCGCACTCCCGAGCGGAGCGGGACTCTCCTTGGAGTTAAAGCAGAAAAACACAGTAAAGGCGGCGTACACCCAGCGGTTCTCCCTGCGTTTCTCCCTTTGACGCTCGTTTTTAGCGTCTTGACCGCTCTGTGAGGAGGTGTTAGAATTAAGAGTTAAGGATCTTGAGCTCAGAACCGGGATTGGGGTTTTGACTTCTTAAATGTTCCAGGGATCCAGTGTAGAATAAACGATAAACGTTCAGAAAACTTGGAAGATTGGATGGATGGATGGATGGATGGATGAATGAACGAGGGAAGGGAGGAAATGAATGCCGCTGGCTCGTTTCGGGGACTTGGGACACTTGCTTTTCCCTGTGTTTCTCTGCACTGGTATTAGTAATAACCAAAGAATAGTTACCATCTATTAAGCCCTTGTGCTGTGTAAATGAAAACTCCTTTAATCTCGGTAACTTCCTAAAAGTTAGGAAATATTATTATCTTATTTTGTAGACGGGGAAACAAATTTATATAGTAAGTGATAGGACCTCCCTCATAGCTCAGTTGGTAGCGTCTCCCTGCAATGCAGGAGACCTGGGTTTGATTCCTGGGTCAGGAAGATCCCTGGAGAAGGAAATGGCAACCCACTACAGTATTCTTGCCTGGAGAATCCCATGGACAGAGGAGACTGGTAGGCTATAGTCAGTGGGGTCGCAAGAGTCAGACATGACTTAGTGACTAAACCACCAGGAACAGCTTTTAAACTCAGAATCCATGCTCTTAACTACATTTCTTGTGAAACTGAGGTGGTGATCACCTCTCCCTCTATCCTGTTAGGCTCAGCTGAGGAAATATAGGTCTTCCCGTCCCCCCACAACTCCTCAACCAGCTGGTCAGCAAATCTTGGCACCACCCTCAAAATATATCCAGACTTGCTACCACTTCTACCACCTCCCGGCTTCCGTGGTGGCTCAGACAGTAAAGAATTTCTGCAATGGGGGTGACCCAGGTTCAATCCCTGGGTTGAGAAGATACCCTGGAGAAGGAAATGGCAGCCCACTCCTTTTTCTTGCCTGGGAAGTCTCATGGACAGTGGAGCCTGGCAGGCTACAGTTCATGGGGTCAGAAAGAGTTGGACATGACTGAGTGAGTGACTAACACTTTCTGCCACCTCCATCACTAGCTCCTGGTTTAAGCCATTATTATCTCATCCGACATTGTTGCTGTAGGATCCTAATGGTATTCCTGTTTCTGTTCATGGATGCTCAATCTGTTCTCAACCCAGTAGCCAGAGGAATCCTTCTAAACATAAGATCATATTACCCCCTGCTGAAAACTTGCCATGGTTTTTCACATCAGTCAGAGTAAAACTGAAATCTTGGCAATCTTTTGCCCTCTTTGATTTGACCTCTCTGATCTACCAATTTTCCATTGCTCACCTTTAACCAATCACAGTGGCTTCCATGCTCCTGCTACAAAGTCTTTGCATTTGCTGTGCTCTCTACTGAAATACTCTTTTTGTAAGTGTCCACATGGTTTACACACTCAGCTCTTGCCAGTCTCTACTCAGATAACACTTTTCCACTTTCCTGACCAGCCTATTTTAAATTGCCATACCCTCTGCTCACCCGCATTGCTGCTTTGTTTTTCTCCATAACACATGCCACCGTCTATATGTTCTACTTGTTTCTGCTCACCCTCCCTCCTTTCTGTCCTTCCCAGTAGAATACAAGCTTCATTTTTTATTTTGTTCAATACTGTTCCCTAAGTGCCTGGGACAGTATCTGATACAGTATTTCTTGAGTAAATGAGTAAGCTGGAAACTGCTAAGGAGATTTGCGGATTATTAAAGTGTACTTCTGTCTGACAAGAATATCAGCCCAGGTTTCTTTGAATTGCTCACGACTATGTCTGGTCTTAATGTTCAAGACCATAATCAAAACTACTTTCTTCAATAACCTGTACCTTGCAGGGTTGTTGGAAACCTTAGTTCAATCATTCATTCATTAAACCAACTAGAGACTGGGAAAACAGTGTAATGTTACACTGGTAAGTTTCCTGCACTACAGAGCTTTTCTTGTGGCAGAGCAAGGGAGAGAAATTGTAAACAAATACATAAGAAACATAATTTCAGATAGTGATAAGTTCTTTGAGGGAAAACAGTAGTGTTGATCAAATGCAAAAGAGAGGTACGGTGCTGCTTGGGCTTGAGTATTCCAGGAAAGACTTTTTGGAGAGAAGGCATTGGAAAGGAACCACACACAGAAAGATCTTGGGGAAGAGGCCTCCTGTCAGGGGCAACAAAAGATCCTGAGGCACTCGGGCCTGGTGCACTGGGAAGACCCAGAGGGATCGGGTGGAGAGGGAGGTGGGAGGGGGGACCGGGATGGGGAATACATGTAAATCCATGGCTAATTCATCTCAATGTATGACAAAAACCACTGCAATGATGTAAAGTAATTAGCCTCCAACTAATAAAAATAAATGAAAAAAAAATAAAAATAAAAAAAACTAAAAAAAAAAAAAAGATCCTGAGGCAGAAATAAGTTTAACATGTTTGAGGAATTAAAATTTGGCTATGGGAGAGCAAGTGAAGGAGGAAAGTTAGTGTAACAGACACTGGAAACTTCAGCAACAGAGTATCAGATCGGAGGAATAAGTTATATGAGAAGACTTGCTGTTCTCTAAGTCAGGAGAAATACACTCCATCATTGTTTCCATTGTCTTTTCCTTGTACTCCCCATTCCCCAACTTTTCAGTCTCCTTTGTATGTAATGACTACCCTGTACTTCTCTCATTTGTTCAGGGTCCTCCAAGATGTTCCTCCCTTCAAGCCCCAATCATGCTTCTCTCAGGACATGAAGGGGAAGTGTATTGCTGCAAGTTTCACCCCAATGGATCCACCTTAGCATCTGCAGGATTTGACCGACTGATATGTAAGGCATAATTTTTGAATCTGGAGTAATTGCTCTCTGCCAAATACTGATTATTTTTTAGAACTTTCAGTGCTAGGTGTCAGTCTAAATTGATCACACAACAAACTGTGTGGCTGATATGCTAAAAGAGAGTCATGAAAATACTGAATGATTTTGGGTGTAGAACTTAGGGTCCATGTGGTAAATACAGTAGGAGTTATATCACCTGCTGGAAGGTGAGCTCCTCTAGTTTGGGAATTTCCTCTTCATGGAGGCAAATCTCAAGCCTATTTAGCAAGCCTAAACTTTAAGATCTATACTTTGAGGCTAATGAGAGTAAGGAGGAGAGAGAGAACTTTTTCCCCAAAGATATGAGGCTCTCTTGATAAATAGCCTCTGAATCTTAGCATTCAGGAAGGAAGGAGGAAATCCTAACAGGGCAACTCACTTGGATAATGTACTTGTCTCTTACTTGGATCTGCTACCAGATTCTCAGCTTCTAGTCAGGAACACCCATTTGGGGAAAATAAGTAGAACTCATATTGAAGAACTAATGAGAAAAAGCAAAAAAGAAGGTAACAGAAACATCTGACACTTTTTCCTCTGGCATCCTTTGCCACATTGTGAGATGAAATGGGTCCTTTGACTCCGTTCTTTTAACTGTGCCTCAGGGTGAATGATGTCTGTTTTGATTTCAGTTTCTAGTTCTGTGTTCCTTAAACTTACTGGTGGCCAAGTCTCTGGAAGGCTTAAGGATCTTAGCTGAACATACTTTAACTACTGATGTACTTAATTTCATCAAACAGACTAGAAGCAGTTTTATCATCAGGAAAACAACTCTTAAGTAGCTTATTATGTATATAGTGTTCTTTAATAATATTCATCAAACTTCACTCTGTGTTGGACCAAGCCCCCTAAGAATTGGAACTGTCTCTATTCACTTACCTTATTTTACCCCAGCACTTGGATAGGTATTTAGTACATGCACACTAAGTAAATGTAGTATAAAATCATTGCTGTGTGACCTTCAAGTCAGTTGCAGCTTCCAGAGTTTCCCATAAGTACCATCATGTTGCAGTCTGCTTCTACTCATAGGAGACAACTAGCTATGAGTGCCAACTTTTTTAAAGTATGGGAGAAAAATTAAGATTTAAAAAATTATATCCATTATCTAAAATGTTTTTATTTTATGAAATGTGAAAATGCTTTTATTTTTGTTCTAATGTAAAGAAGATTGATATTGCTGATAGAATTAATAGTGTTTCAAAGGAGTATAATTTCAGAACTGTTGTTCTAGTGAATTCTTAAGTACCCTTTCCATGGCCAGTAATAGTTTTATTTTGCCTAGTAATGTTCACAGAACCCCTGTCTCCCTAACAGTGTTGTGGAATGTCTATGGTGACTGCGATAACTATGCTACATTGAAGGGACACAGTGGAGCAGTGATGGAACTTCATTATAACACAGACGGCAGGTGAGTGTTTTGCATAGTGGATGACAGCTGCTGCTTCTATTAATTCTTCTTGGCGTCCTTTCGTATTTCATCCCTGAATTTTTTCTTAGGAGATTGTGCTATCAAAAATTACTGCATTTTGGACAACCACTTTATCATCCTATCACTGTCTCCCCAAGTAAGGTGTTTATTGTTCGATATGAAAGTCACTCAGTCACATCTGACTGTCTGCGACCACATGGACTATACAGTCCATGGAATTCTCCAAGCCAGAATACTGGAGTGGGTAGCTGTTCCCTTTTGTCGGGGATCTTCCCAACCCAGTGATCAAACCCAGGTCTCCCACATTGCAGATGGATTCTTTACTGTCTGACCCACCAGGGAAGGCCATTGTTCCATGTATGCATTCATAATATCTATCTAACATTCAACAGCCAGAAATTTTTTCTTTTTTAAGACATAAAATATAGTAGAAATTAATTATTTTTTATTATAAAAGTAATGAAACAATCTGTTTCAAGAAAACTAAAAAAAAAAAAAAAAAAGAAAACTAAAAAAAGGCAGGAAAATGACAAAGTACACCACATTTTTACCATTCCAAAGATAATCGCTGTTAATATTATGGTATATTTCTCTCAAGATTTTTTCCTATTCAAAACAGTTTGATTTTTATGTACGTATTAGAACTACATGTGTAAGTTCCCTGGCAGTCCAGTGTTTAGGATTCAGTGCTTTCACTGCCATGGCCCAGGTTCAGTCCTGGTTGGGGAACTAAGGTCCTGTAAGCCATACAGTCAAAAAAAAAAAGAAAGAGCTCTTATACAATACAATCTTGTCTGCTGTTTTTTACCCTTAACGTTATTCAACTGTCATTATCTGTTTTTTGTGACATTTATTATAAATATTTTATCAGTTGAATAACTACAGATGATATGAAAATGTAATTCTACAAAGTTAATTAATCCCATTCAGTATTTCAATAAACATTTATTGTCTTACAGCTCTTACCTCTAAAAATTTTAGGGTTCCTTGAATGACTAGGTACATAGCCTTGTGTGTAGTTTTCCTGTTTGAGTAAAAAAATCATTATAAAATCAATCATAACTTAGAAGTCATTCTCAGAGGCAAAATAAAAGCTTTGATTTTGAGAGAAAGAGTTAGATTTACTGAGCCAGGAATTGCTACTATCTGTCTTACTTCTGCAACGGGGAGTGATTATACATTTTCAAGTGGAAGGATGTGTAAAGTGTAGTACATCACAAAGAAGGGAAAGATTGAGAAGACTGCCATATTAGATGTACAGTATGTCATGTGGACTGACAAATGGGAAAATTTTTTTACATTTATTAGACCTTATAATTGTGTCTAGACTACCATTAGGATTTTGGTACATTGGGTGAGACATTCCCGAAGCAGGTGCCAAACTGTCAGAGCACAGCACGTTAGTGATCTTGAAGACTTGGGTACATTTTGACAAGTAAGGAAGATAGATTGCTATTCCTTGTCTTCACTTTTTTTTCTTCCTCTTGCTTTCTAGTATGCTCTTCTCAGCGTCCACAGATAAGACTGTGGCGGTGTGGGATAGTGAAACAGGCGAGAGGGTGAAAAGACTGAAGGGGCATACTTCCTTTGTGAATTCCTGCTACCCGGCCAGGAGGGGCCCCCAGCTTGTCTGCACGGGCAGTGACGACGGCACGGTTAAGGTGGGTGTCATCTGCCTCTGTGTTGAGGGTTTCTGAGGTGACGAAATGTGAAACTTAGCTTGTCTCCCCACCTATGCTATACCCTTCTCTCCACAACTTTGTTTCATCATACATTTCCAAAAACAGACACTCTTTAAAATACATTTCAGATACTAAGCAGTTGTGTTTTTTTTTCCTTCTTTGATGAATCCTACAGACTGTTACAACCATGTAGAACAGTTGTCACTTGGAATAAAGTAGACCACCATCCAAGAATAATTGGATTCTTGACTTAGTGTTTATTTAATTATGTGACACTTTTCTGATCCTCAGTTTCTTAGTCTTTAGTGACAATAATATAAATTTCTTACAAGGATGTTGTGAAATTTAAGTCAGTATATAAAAAAGTCAGTATATGGTTTTAGTTACAAAGGATGGGATGTTAAAGGTCATTTAACCCAATGAGTTTCAACCTTTGTGAATATCAGAATAACCTGGAAAACCTGTTAAAAATACCCAGATTATGGTTCAGTAGGTCTAGAATGGAATTTTTTTTTTTTTAATAAAGACTTTTTTTTTTGGCCACACTTCGTAGTGTATGGGTGTGGGATCTTACTCCCCCAACCAGGAATTGAATCCTGGCCTCTTGCATTGGAAGCATGGAATCTTAACCACTGGACCACCACAGGGAAGTCCCAAGGCTTTAATTTTTAGAGTAATTTTGGGTTGACTGCAAAATTTAGGGGAAGGTACAGAGATTTCACGTTTAACTACTACCCCTACCATGCATTGCTTCCCCTACCAGAATGGTGTGTGTTTTACAGTTGATGAACCTACATTGATACATCATTGTCACCCAAAGTCCATAGTTTACATGAGGGTTCACTTTCAGTGTTGTACATTCTATGGGTTTGGACAGATGTGTAATGACATGTATCTGGCACTATTGGATCATACACAGTATTTTCAATGCCCTTATGGCAGAAAGTGAAGAAGAACTAAGGAGCCTCTTGACGAAAGTGAAAGAGGAGAGTGAAAAAGTTGGCTTAAAGCTCAACATTCAGAAAACTAAGATCATGGCATCCGGTCCCATCACTTCATGGCAAATAGATGGGGAAACAGTGGAAACAGTGGCTGACTTTATTTTTCTGGGCTCCAAAATCACTGCAGATGGTGATTGCAGCCGTGAAATTAAAAGACGCTACTCCTTGAAAGTTATGACCAACCTAGACAGCATATTAAAAAGCAGAGACATTACTTTGCCAGCAAAGGTTCGTCTAGTCAAGGCTATGGTTTTTCCAGTGGTCATGTATGGATGTGAGAGTTGGACTATAAAAAAAGTTGAGCACTAAAGAATTCATGCTTTTGAACTGTGGTGTCGAAGAAGACTCTTGAGAGTCCCTTGGACTGCAAAGAGATCCAACCAGTCCATCCTAAAGGGAATCAGTCCTGGGTGTTCATTGGAGGGACTGATGTTGAACTGAAACTCCAATACTTTGGCCATCTGATGTGAAGAGCTGACTCATTTGAAAAGACCCTGATTCTGGGAAAGATTGAAGGCAGGAGGAGAAGGGGATGACAGAGGATGAAATGGTTGGATGGCATCACCAACTCAATGGACATGGGTTTGGGTAGACTCTGGGAGTTGGTGATGGACAGGGAGGCCTGGCGTGCTGCAGTTTGTGGGGGTCGCAAAGAGTCGGACACAACTGAGCGAGGGAACTGAACTGAAAAATGCTTTATATTCTGCCTAGTCATTTCTCTCAACCCCAGGCAACTGCTGATCTTTTTACTGTCTCCATAGTTTTGCCTTTTTCAGAATGTCATATAGTTAGAATCATAAAGTGTATAGTCTTTTCATTTTGGTTTCTTTCACCTAGTAATACCATTTAAGAGTCCTCTGTGTTTTTTCTTTCTTTTTTTAAATTTCTTTGGCTGCGTTGAGTCTTAGTTGCAGCATGCTATGTCATGTGGGATCTTTCCTTGCAGCAACTTAATACTTCATTTCTTTTTAACACTGAATAATATTCCTTTGTTGGATATGCCACAGTTTATCCATTCACCTACTGAAGGTCATCTTGTTTGCTTCCAGGTTCTGGCAGTTATGAATAAAGCTGCTCTATACAGCTGTGTAGGTTTTTGTGTGGACCTAAGCTTTTAACTCACCTTATATGGCTAGATAGCATCACTGACTCAATGGACATGAACTTGAGCAAATTCCAAGAGATAGTGGAGGACAGAATCCTGGTGTGCTGCAGTCCATGGCGTTGCAAAGAGTCTGATACGACTTAGCAACTGAACAACAAGTGTTTAACTCCTTTGAGTAAATACTGAGGAGCACAGTTACTGGGTTCTATAGTAAGGGTTTGGAGAAGGAAATGACAACCCATTCCAGTACTCTTGCTTGGAAAATCCCATGGACGGGGGAGCCTGCTAGGCTACAGTCCATGGGATAACAAAGAGTTGGACACAACTGAGTGACTTCACTTCACTCATTTCCCTCACTTCATACTTATCCTTGGAGAAGGAAATGGCAACCCACTCCAGTATTCTTGCCTGGATTATCCCATGGAAAGAGGAGCCTGGCGGGCCATAGTCCATGGGGTCACAGAGAGTCGGACACGACTGAAGTGACTGAGCACACATGCATATTAAGGGTTTTGTAAGAAACTGCCAGTCTGTCTTCCGAAGTGACTACACCATTTTGTCTTCCTACCAGCATTGAGTGAGCATTCCTTTGTTCCCCATCCTTATCAGCATCTGGTATTGTCAGTGTTTCGGATTTTGACCTTTCTAGTAGGTGTGTGGTTGTAGTGTACTGTCGTTTTACTGTGCATTTCTGCAATGATATATCATGTAAAATACCTTTTTTTCCAGTCTTAATGAGGAATAATTGACATATTTAACTGTATAAATTTAAGGCATGCAGCAGGATGGTTCGACTTAGCTTTATTGTGAAATGATTACCACAGGTTTGACCAGCAGCATCTGTTTTCTTACATAGATACAAGAAAAGGAAAAAATGTTTTTCTTTGATGAGAACTCTTAAAGCTCAGTTTTTGACCTGGTTGTTTGTTGTTGTTGAATTTAAGAATTCTTTGTACTTTATTTTAGATAACAGTTCTTTAACAGATGTGTTTTTTGCAAGTGTTTTCTCATAGTTTGTGGCTTGTCTTCTAATTCTCTTAACATTTTCTTTCACAGAAATGTTTAATGTTAGTGAAGTTCAGCTTATCAATGATTCCTTTCATGGATTGTGCTTTTTTTTTTTTAACACGTGAATGTACAGTGCCAACACAACTTGTTGAAGTCATTTATCTTTGTTTCCCCCCCAACCTTTTTTTTTTTTGGCTGAGCTGGATTTTAGTTGTGGCATGCAAACTCTTAGTTGCAGCATATGGGATCTAGTTCCTTGACCAGGGATCAAACCTGAGTCCCCTGCATTGGGAGCATGGAATCTCAGCCACTGGACCACCAGGGAAGTCCCCTTTGTTCCATTGTATTGCCTTTGCGTCTCTGTCAAAGATGAGTTGACTATGGGGGTCTATTTCTAGGTTTTTTATTCTCTTTCATTGATCTATTTGTCAGCTCTTTCGTCAATATTGCACTGTCTTGATTATTGGCTTTATTGTAAATCCTAAAGTTGGGTAGGGTCAGTCCTCCAGTTTTGTTGTACAATATTGTGTTGGCAAATTGGGATCTTTTGCCTTTCCAAGTAAACTCCAGTTTGTTGATTTCCATGAAATAACTTGCTGGAATTTTAGTTGACATTGCATTGATCAGTATGATTGATCTATAGGTCAAATTGGGAAGAACAAACATCTTGATATATTGAGTCTTCCTACCCATGAACGTGGAATGTCTCTCCATTTATTTAGTTCTACTTTTATTTCATTCATTAGCATTTTTTTAAGTTTTCCTTATAGAACTCACATAAGTATTTTGTTAGATTTGCACCTAAGTTTCTCTTTTTTGGTTTTTTTTGGATGCTAATATCAGTGGTATTGTGTTTTTAAGAATAAGAATGTTAAATGTGTTCTCAAGTGATCTGATATAGCAGGTATGACATTCTGGGAGCCACCGATCTCTCCAGCATCCTCACTTTATGAAAGAGGAAAATGAAGCCTAGAAATAGTAACTTATTTCAAGGGTACACAGGACACACTGCTTTGTACACTTTATTCTTTCTTTGGTACTAGTTTCTGACTTCTGGGTTTTTTTTAATTAATGATTAAACAAAGGGATTTCAAAGGAGTACATGTGAGAAACCACACTAAACTTTTGATGGTTGCTTTTTTAAATGAATTTGCCTTCAATCTTGCCCAGCATCAGGGTCTTTTCTAATGAGTCAGTTCTTCATATCACGTGACCAAAGTAATGGAGGTTCAACTTCAACATCTGCCCCTCCAGTGAATATTGAGGACTAATATCCTTTAGGATGGACTGGTTTGATCTCCTTGCAGTCCAAGGGACTCTCAAGAGTCTTCTCCAATACCACAGTTCAAAAGAATCAATTCTTCGGCGCTCAGCTTTCTTTATGGTCCAACTTTCACATCCATACATGACTACTGGAAAAACCAGAGCTTTGATTGGACAGACCTTTGTCAGCAAAGGAATGTTTCTGCTTTTTAATATGCTGTCTAGGTTGGTCATCATTTTTCTTCTAAGGAGCAGCCATCTTTTAATTTCATGGCTGCAGTCACCATCTGCAGTGATTTTGGAGCCCCCAAAAATAAAGTATATCACTGTTTCCATTGTTTGTTTCCCCATCTATTTGGCTTTGTCATGTGTAGACATTGAAATCTCTGTTTCATCAGCCCAGTGGTTCACAGATGATTCAGAAGAGATATCCTTAATCACCTGGTGGGGCAGGGAGGACTCTGCCAGTCTTTGTGGATCGGCTGTGTGGGTGTGTAGGGGCCTCCTTTAACCTCTCAGCCTGACAGTTTATAACTCTGTATTAGCCTTCACATCCTCTTGTGGTCAGCAAGAGGTGAGAGGTTAGGGCCTTCTCAGGTCTTTCCTAAGCATATGTCCAGCCATGGGCATTCAGGTGGCCTCCTAGAGTTCCAAGTATATGTCAAAGCAAAGCCTTTACTCTCCAAACTGTCTCATTCCCCAGCCTTTCGTATTTGCCCCAACTGTTATCCATTGCCTAGCCAGCAGAGGCTAATGTATTTGCCTTTAATTGTTTTAGACAAATGCCTCTGCCCTAGGAAATTTCCACAGTAGGCAAAATAAAGTCAAGCCCTTTAAGTTAGGAATGTACAGTAGTTTCAGTATTCTTTGGCATTGCCTTTCTTTGGGATTAGAATGAAAACTGACCTTTTCTAGTCCTATGGCCACTACTGAGTTTTCCAAATTTGCAGGCATACTGAGTGCAGCACTTTAATAGCATCATCTTTTAGGATTTGAAATAGCTCAGCTGGAATTCGAGTACCTCCACTAGCCTGGTTCGTGATAATGCTTCCTAAGACCCACTTGACTTCACATTCCAGGTTGTCTGGCTCTCGATGAGTAAACACACCATTGTGGTTATCCAGGTCATTAAGACCTTTTTTGTACAGTTTTTCTGTGTATTCTTGCCACTTCCCTTAGTCTCTTCTGCTCTGTTAGGTCCTTGCTGTTTCTGTCCTTTATTGTGCCCATCTTTGCATGAAATGTTCCCTTGGTATCTCCAGTTTTCTTGGAAAGATCTTAAATCTTTTGCATTCTGTTGTTCTCCTCTATTTCTTTGAATTGTTCACTTAAAAAGGCTTTCTTACCTCGCCTTGCTATTCTCTGAAACTCTACATCCAGTAGGGTAATCTCTTTTCCTTACTCCCTTGCCTTCTTTTCTCAGCTATTTGTAAGGCCTCTTCAAGCAACCACTTTGCCTTCTTGTATTTCTTTTTCTTTGGAAAGGTTTTGGTCAGTGCCTCCTGTACAGTGTTACAGACCTCTGTCCATAGTTCTTCAGGCACTCTATCAGATCTAATTCCTTGAAATCTATCTGTCAACATCCACTGGATCATAGAGAAAGCAAGGGAATTCCAGGGAAACATCTACTACTGCTTCACTGACTACATACGCTAAAGCCTTTGACTGTGTGGATCACAACAAACTGGAAAATTCTTCAAGAGATGGGAATACCAGATCACTTTACCTGCCTCCTAAGGAGCCTGTATACAGGTCAAGAAGCAACAGTTAGAAACAGACATAGAACAATGACTGGTTCAAAACTGAGAAAGGAGTATGACAAGGCTGTCTGTTGTCACCCTGCTTATTTAACTTGTATGCAGAGTACATCATGGAAAATGCCAGGCTGGATAAAGCACAAGCTGGAATCAAGATTGCTGGGAGAAATATCAGTAATTTGACATATGTAAATGACACCACCCTAATGGCAGAAAGCAAAGAGGAACTAAAGAGCCTCTTGAAGATGAAAGAGGAGATTGAAAAGGCTGGCTTAAAACTTAACATTCAAAAAACGAAGATCATGGCATTTGGTCCCATCACTTCATGGCAAATAAATGGGGAAACAGTGGCAGATTTTATTTTCTTGGGCTCCAAAATCACTGGACGGTGACTGCAGCCATGAAATTAAAAGACACTTGCTCCTTGGAAGAAAAACTATGACAAACCTAGACATCAGATTAAAAAGCAGAGACATCACTTTGCCAACAAGGTCCATATAGTCAAAGCTATGATTTTTCCAGTAATCATGTATGGATGTGAGAGCTGGACCATAAAGAAGGCTGAGCACTGAAAATTGATGCTTTCGAAGTGTGGTGGATCAAACCAGTCAATACTAAAGGAAATCAACCCTGAATATTTGTTGTAAGGACTGATGCGAAAGCTCCAATATTTGGGCCACCTGATGGGAAGAGCTGACTCACTGGAAAAGATCCTGATGCTGGGGAAGATTGAAGGCAGGAGAAGAGGATGACAGAGAATGAGATGGTTGGATGGCAGCACCGAATCAATGAACATGAGTTTGAGCAAACTCCAGAGATAGTGAAGGACAGGGAAGCCTGGTGTGCTGCAGTTCATGGGGTTCCAAAGAGTCAGGCATGACTTAGGAACTGAACAACAAAAACTTGTATTCATGTATCGGAGCCACCAAACAGTAAATTTTTCTTTTTTTTTTAATTTAAACCCACAATATTTTGAAAGTAAGATTCATTCTTCTTCCTTGGGTACTTAGGAACCTATGCTAGGAATGTAGGCTATTGTTTTCAGATCTGTTGCTGAGTGAGGATGGAGCCAGGGTAAGTTAAAGCACTACAAAGCCCTCTTACTAGGACCCAGCTGGTTTTTATCCTCAGTAAGTATTTACCTAGTTGCTGTAAACTTTTAGTTTCTAGAGTTCTGATGCAGTTGATTCTGAAAGATTGTTTGCCAGTTTTCTGCTTTTGTAGGGGGACAATCTTTGGGCACTTTGTACTCTGCCATTTTCACTGATATAACCTCCTCTCCATATGTATATATATATTTTTTAATGCAAGTTGTAGCCAAGTAATGAATTAAGATCTACAATTTGAAAACATTGGTCTCACCCTTTTAAAAGCACTCAGTGGGCCTTTTGCTGATGACCCGCTGAGCCGTCAAGAAAGGGCAGAGTGAAAACACCGCTTTTGGGTGAAGCGGCAGCATGTTGTGTTGTTTTGCTTCAATCGGTGGTGTGACAAGGTGTAGGAAAAAAAAAAAAAGAAACATTGGTCTAATATCTTTTGTGTAGAACAAATGAACTAATAAACATGGTGAAGATGTCCACTCTAAGGGCATTTAATTAACCGCATATATTCAAATTTTAACAAAATCTGAAAATATAACCAAAGTGATTTATTCCACTGGCATTCAGATACTTTGGCAAAATTATAGTCGGTTCTCATGATGTTGATGGGATATTCATTCAGACAAATTTCTGAACAGGGTACCTTTACAGATGTTTTCACTTCCACAGTCCTTAGATTTATGGGTGTACTGTGCGGTTGTTTCTTAGAGTGATGTTACTATAGACTCTCTTGTCCTCTTTTTCAGCTTTGGGATATCCGCAAGAAAGCAGCTATTCAGACATTTCAGAACACCTACCAAGTGTTAGCTGTGACTTTCAATGATACAAGTGATCAGATTATTTCTGGTGGAATAGACAACGATATCAAGGTATTTTAGATGTTTATGTTCTATTTACTTTTCACCTGTCTCCACTTACGGAGGTAAGTCTTTCCAACTTCCTAACTTTGCACTTTATACCAGCTAAGTGAAAGATAAATTAGAACTTGTTTTCTTTCTGTCTTTATTGACTTTGTAAGTCAGGGTTGCATTACAACTTACATGGTCCCTGCCCATCAGGGACCAGGCAGTTTATAGGAAGTGAGAAGTCCCTGTGTGGGAACTCTGAAAAATGAAGAGTGCATTCCCTGAGTGATGGCATTTGAAACTTGTTTTTTTTTTTTTTTTTTAACCTGCATTGGCTTCATTGAGATAGCAGTAAATGAGTTTGTGATTCTGTACCTAATCTCTCAGTGTGTCTTTGTTTTTGAAACTGTAGAAAGGAAGTTTTGGTGGGGGTCCATAGCTCAGAATGTAAGAAGGTAGTGAAGTTGAGGAAAAGAGGCAATAGACTTCTTGATAGTATAATATAGCTCAAGCTTTCAAGTAATTGACTTCGGGTCTAATCTTAGTTCTGCTGTTCTCTAATTTTTTGTGACTTCAAACTAGTTCTTTAACTTCTTTCAGCTTCTGTTTTATCATGTGTGTAGTAGGGGTTAACAGTATCTATCTCATAGAGTTGTCATGGGCATTAAATGAGCCAAATGCATTAGAGCACCTAGCAGAATTTCTGGACATAGCAGATGCCAGTAAATATGAAATGTGTGGGGGCAGGGGGAGGCCTGCTCAGTTTGTCTCTGCTTTTACTTATTGCCTTCCTTAGGTATTTCAAAGACTTTGACTTACCTTACGCTTTATCATGAGAGTAGTGATTATTGAGTAAGTATTCAGCTTCCTATGTTGTCTCTATCTAGAAATTGTACTGTATTCCCATCTCTCCTTGCCTCCTTTCTGTTACTATGGATGGAATGTCCATTTATCTACAGTTCAGTTCAGTCGCTCAGTTGTATCTGACTCTGCGACCCCATGAACCGCAGCACGCCATGCCTCCCTGTCCATCACCAGCTCCTGGAGTCCACCCAAACCCATGTCCATTGAGTCGGTGATGCCATCCAACCATCTCATCCTCTGCTGTCCCCTTCTCCTCCTGCCCTCGATCTTTCCCAGCATCAGGGCCTTTTCAAATGAGTCAGCTCTTCACATCAGATGGCCAAAGTATTGGAGTTTCAGCTTCAGCATCAATCCTTCCAATGCATATTCAGAACTGATCTCCTTTAGGATGGATTGGTTGGATCTCCTTGCAGTCCAAGGGACTCTCAAAGTCTTCTCCAACACCACAGTTCAAAAACATCAGTTCTTCGGTGCTCAGCTTTCTTTATAGTCCAACCCTCACATCCATACATGACCACTGGAAAAACCATAGCCTTAACTAGACGGACCCTTGTTGATAAAGTAATGTCTCTGCTTTTTAATATGCTGTCTAGGTTGGTCATAACTTTGCTTCCAAGGAGTAAGCGTCTTTTAATTTCATGGTTGCAGTCACCTCTGCAGTGATTTTGGAGCCCAGAAAAATAAAGTCAGCCAGTGCTTCCACTGTTTCCCCATTTATTTGCGATGAACTGATGAGACCGGATGCCATGATCTTAGTTTTCTGAATGTTGAGCTTTAAGCCAACTTTTTCACTCTCCTCTTTCACTTTCACCAAGAGGCTCTTTATTTAGTTCTTCACTTTCTGCCATAAGGGTGGTGTCATCTGCATATCTGAGCTTATTGATATTTCTCCCGACAATAAGGGAGTCCCTTAAATGGAAAGATTTCAACCTTTCTTTCCTGTCTCTGGGACCTCATGCTGTCAGTTTTCTCAAATCCTATCCTTTTAACCAGCTGTATTGCTTCTTATTAGCATTTCATCATGCTCAGGTCTTCTCTTGGTAGGGGAAAGAGTCTTCCTTCAGTTCCACATTGTCTTGTTATTGCCCTGTCAGTCTTCCCCTTTACAGCCAAACTTCTTTAAAGATGGTGATAGTGGTTATGATCATAATACAGTTACCATCATCCTCTAACACTCAAGTGTGTCAGGCATTGTTCTCAATGCATGCTGTGCGTGTTTGTCCATAAGTCATGTCCAACTCTTTTGCAAACCCATGGACTAGAGCCTGCCAGGCTTCTCGTCCTTGGAATTTTCCAGGCAAGAATACTGGAGTGAGTTGCCATTTCCTACTCCAGGGGATCTTCCTGATGTAGAGATCAAACCCGCATCTCTTGCATCTCCTACATCAGCAAGTCAATTGCTTACCACTGTGCCACCTGTTGTTCTTAGAGCTTTATATTATAATTATTTTAAGCCTCACAACAGTCCTATGAAATAAGTGCTGTTAATGGGCTTCCCAGGGTCACAAAGAGTTGGATAGGATTGAGCAACTGAGCACACACACAATGCCATTTTACCAATGATTCAAAACCCAGAGTTTGGGCCCAGAGTCTTGCTCTTATTTCCTGTGAGAAATCCCCTGAATATTTTCTACACTCACTGTCTTTAATGCCTTATCTACCTTTCATTTCTCAATCCCATGCCTCCTGATCACTGCTCATCAGTCTGGCTTCTGCCTCCGTTGTTTTATTTGCACTGCTCTCTTCAAGGTCACCAATGATCTCCCTGTTACTAAATCTAGTAGATCCTTCTAGTCTTTGTTTTTTTTTTTTAACTTGCTCTGACAATATACTTTCCTACCCTTTCCATCAGGCATAGCCATCAGATACCTCTGCAAGCTATTCAGTCTATGCATTCATTATATGTCGTTATTCCCCAAGATTCTTTCCTCAGTGCTCTTATTATATGCCTTTCCCTGGGCAATTCCCATCAAATACTGTGACTCTTAATTGTGATTTCTATGCAGATAACTCGATGTTCTCAACCCATATCTTCAGCTCCAGACCCATATATACAGCCAGCTACTCAGCATCCCCATTTGGAGTACCTAAAAATTCACCATTTCCAAAATTCAACCTCATGTCCCTTTTCCACCCTATAACTCTTTGGAGACTACAGTCAAAACGTGGGTGCTTAATTAGATCACCTTAATAGCAAATACATTATTTCCCTGAGTGAAGTTTGGGAACCCATTATTGTTAGAATCACTAGACAGCTTCTAATACACATGGAAGTGGATTAATGTCATCTAGCCATGGTACTTTTCATACTTCTAAGTTAGTATTATGAAAATTTACATACTGTGAAATTAGATGCTCCCCAGTAGTCTAGTGGTTAGGATGCAGTGCACTCACTGCTGTAGCCGGGGTTCAGTTCCCGGTCAGGGCAGCCTTCTCTGAGCCTCCCAGGTGGCACAGTGGTGAAGAATCTCCTGCCGGTGCCGCAGACTTAAAGACACAGGTTCAGTCCCGTGTTGGGATTCAGACCCGTGTTCCAGGTTGGGAAGATTTCCTCAAGTGGGAAATGACAACCCGCTCCAGTATTCTTGCCTGGGAAAATCCATGGACAGAGAAGTCTGGCTGGCTACAGTCCGTGGAGTTGCAAAGGGTTGGATACAACTGAGCGACTGGGCACACATATGAAATTAGCCTTTTTTTAGTATAAAGTTCTATGGATTTTAATGCTTATGCAGATTCATGTAACTACCACAGACAGGACAGAACAATTTCCATCACCCCAAAAAACTTTATAGTACTCTTCTGCATCAAACCCTCTACCCATTCCTAATCCCTCCAAACCATTGATCTCTTCCTTGTCCTATAGTTCCTATTCCAAAATAGCATATGAATAAAATCATACAACATATGACTGTCTGAGATTGACTTTTTAAACGATGAGAATTTGATCTTTGTGTATCAGCTGTGGGCATAGACTAGCCTAAGAATAATAATTTTGTTCTAGTAAGTCCTTCTTACCACAAATAGTGTGGCTTATTCTGGCCTCTTTGTCTAAACTGTTTTGGGACCTTCTGTATACAAGTATGCTTCCCCGCTGGCTCAAACAGTAAAGAATCTGCCTGCAGTGCAAAAGAGCTGGGTCAGGAACGTCCCCTGGAGAAGGGAATGGCTACCCACTCCAGTATTCTTTTCTGGAGAATTTCATGGACAGAGGAGCCTGGTGGGCTACAGTCCATTGGGTCACAAAGAGTCAAACACAACTGAGTGACTAGCACTTTTAACTTTCATAAACAAATATCTTCAGTTGTACTATAGTTCTGAAGGGACTGAGTTTCTTGGTTTTGAAGGTTTTCCATGTCTTCTCAGATACATATGTGTTATACCTTCTCTTGGATCAGTTTTTTCCTCACATAGCTAATCTCAGTCTTTGTTGATATACACCAATTTTGTTCTGAAATCCAAATTTATCTCAAATATGAGAAATACATAAATAGAGTCCTATGAGTGCAGCACTTAACGACTCTTCATCATAGCCTTGTAGGCTTTTTTTTTTTCATTTATTTTTATTAGTTGGAGGCTAATTACTTTACATCATTGCAGTGGTTTTTGTCATACTTTGAGATGAATTAGCCATGGATTTACATGTATTCCCCATCCCGGTCCCCCCTCCCACCTCCCTCTCCACCTGATCCCTCTGGGTCTTCCCAGTGCACCAGGCCCGAGCACTTGTCTCATGCACCCAACCTGGGCTGGTGATCTGTTTCACCCTAGATAATATACGTGTTTCGATGCTGTTCTCTTGAAACATCCCACCCTCGCCTTCTCCCAGAGTCCACAAGTCTGTTCTATACATCGGAGTCTCTTTTTCTGTTTTGCATATAGGGTTATCGTTACCATCTTTCTAAATTCCATATATATGTGTTAGTATACTGTAATGGTCTTTATCTTTCTGGCTTACTTCGCTCTGTATAATGGGCTCCAGTTTCATCCATCTCATTAGAACTGATTCAAATGAATTCTTTTTAATGGCTGAGTAATATTCCATGGTGTATATGTACCACAGCTTCCTCATCCATTGGTCTGCTGATGGGCATCTAGGTTGCTTCCATGTGTAGGCTTTTTTTTATCAAGTATAGTTGATTTACAATGTTGTGCTAGTTTCT